TACGCTTCGTATCTAAAAGATTTACAGAAAAATAGCAGCTTGTTACTTGACACATCCCTGTTCTGGGAATATTCAGGGTTCAGTCTGCTGCCTCTATTGAAAAAAGATCTCTTTATTACCATCTGCCTTCCAGAACCAACCCAACTCTGACAAATAAACTGGATTACTTCTTGGTTTGTGAAGCATCAGCCAGTTGGTAACTAAATTCCAGTTGTAAGGCCACCTCTGCAAGCATGTCACTTAAAAATGTTTCCTTAATCTGTACTTTAGCAACCCCACAGAAAGCAGTAGTGTTACAAAGATGCAAGTCAGAGCAACATTTGGGTTGTAGAGTAGTTTATTTGGCATGATGCCCATGTTGGAGCAAACCTAGCCTGACTTGTATATGCCAAGTTTCATTTCTTGTTGCTTGGGGACCAGTAACAGCTCCTGGCCCTGTTGTCCTTTAACAGGTATAAAATGAAATTGTGGGGTAGTTCCTGCCTCCTCTACTTACAAGGTAAACTCTTCAAGCTAGGAACTACCTCACAATGTCATTGTGGGAAGGAAAACAGGCATGATGAACATGGCTGAGGTTCACACAAGTGGTTGTTGGGATCTTCTGATTCATAGGTCTCAAAATCTGCAAATAATACCAGTATGTAACAGGACAGCATTTATTTAAAAGCTACTTTCCACTTTTACAGTAAATGGAGATGCTTATCTCTGGCTTGAATATAAGCTTGTATCTGTTGTTCCAAAGCTCTAGTAAGGCCAGAGATGTATATGGTTAGTGTTCAGTTCTAATGTAGATTATTTTTAGCAGTTCAAGCAGCTGTTAAACTTACGGGAAAGAAGAACTAAAAAGAGATTTAGGAACAGTTTCTGCTTCTCCATTGGCCCACTTCACATATTTGGATGTAAAGAATGCTTTTACTCCTGTATCATCCTAAAAAATGGCAGAAGGGATCATAGCTTTTGCGTAAGAGGATTCATATTGATAGGAGTTAGGCTTTTTGGGAAAGTGAAATTTCAAGAATCAGTCTTTGTATAGATTCTTTGTAAAATGTAGGAAGTACTTTGAGTGTATGTGCTACATACTTCCAGGAAAATGGTTCTTTCATAGATTTCATAGACTTTTAGGGCTTGAAAGGACCTCACAAGATAGGGACCTCACAAGATCATTGGGTCAACCTCCTGCCTAAGACGCAGGAAGTCAGCTGGGGTCAAATGATCCCAGCAAGATAGGCATTTAAGTGTTTCTTTAAAATGTCCAGAGTAGGTACTTGCAGCACCTTTGGGGGAAGTCTATTTCAGGCTCTGGGGACTCAGACAGTAAAGAAGTTTTTCCTTATGTCCAGCCTAAAACCATCTTCCACGAGTTAGTGATGGTTTGACCTAGTCTTCCCTTGGAGTGCCCTGGTGAACAGATGTTCTCCCAGTTCCTGATGCACACCCCTTATGTACTTATAGGCTGCCACGAAGTCACCCCTGAGCCTACGCTTTTCCAGGCTCAGGAGTCCCATGGCTCTCGGCCTCTCCTCATAAGGCCTACTCTCTTGTCCTCTAATTGTGTATGGCTCTCCTCTGGATCCTCTTAAGCTTCTCCACGTCCTTTCTGAATTGCAGAGCCCAGAACTGGATACAGTATTCCAGCTGTGGCTTCACTAAGGCTGAGTAAAGTGAGAGGATGACTTCCTGGGTCTTGCTTGAGATGCATTGGTAGATGCAAGCCAGAGTTTTGTTTGCTTTGCTGGCTGCGGTGTTCATCTTGTGGAAAGTCTCTTTCAGTTGTGGTGCTGGCGAGCATAGCACTTCTGAGCCTGTAAGTGCGATGTGGGTTTTTTCTTCCGAGGTGGAGCACCTTGCATTTCTCTGTGTTGAATGCCATCAGGTTTTGATCCACCCATCTTGCAAGCCTGTCAAGGTTGGCCTGGATCACTAGCCATCCTCTAGGATGACCACACTTTCCCATAGTTTGGTGTCATCAGCAAACTTAGCCAGTCCGCTTCTGACACCAGAGTCCAGATCAATTATAAATACATTGAAGAGTACAAATCTGAGAATGGAGCCCTGGGGGACACCACTGGTTACATGCACCATGTTGATTTGGTTCCATCAACTATCACTCTATGGGTCTGTCCATGGAGCCACTTCCCTAACCGTTGGATTGTAAGGTTGTCGAGGCTGCAATTCCCCAATTTTAACATGAGGACATCATGGGACGCCAGGTCAAATGTTTCCTTGAAGTCCAAATATATGATATCAACCTCTTCTCCTTTGTCCAAGTGATGTGTCACCTGGTCGTAGAAGGAAATGAGGTTGGTCAGGCAAGACCTACCCACAACAAAACCATGTTGGCTATCTCTCAGAGTGTTGCCTTTTGTTAGCCTGTTGTTAATGGTTTCCTTGATGAGTTTTCCCAAGGTCGTTCCAGGGACTGGCCTGTAGTTCCCCAGATCTTCCTTTCTCCCTTTCTTGAAGATAGACACCACACTGGCCCTCTTTCAATCTTCAGGTACCTTGTCTGAGCACCACGAGTTCTCAAATATTTTCACCATTGGCCATGCTATGATGTCAGCCAGTTCCTTTAGCACTCTTGGGTGTATTCCATCCGGGCCAGCTGACTTGTGGATGTCCAGCCTCTCAAGGTGTTCCCTCACAAGATCCATGCCTTTTCCTGATGATCCTGCATTTTATCAGGCGGGGTGATTCCCATGGGCTAGTGGAAGACTGACCCAAAGTAATCGTTAAGGAGATTGACTTTTGACTTTCCTGGGTGTCAGTTATCACCTGCCCCATTTGGTTTAGCAAGGGTCCAATGTTGCTCTTTTTTCTTTTTCTGACCTCCCACGAATCTGAAGAAGGACTTTTTATTGTCCTTGATTCTTGTGGCCAGTTTGAGCTCATTTTCAGCCTTGGCTTTCCTAATTTGTTCGCTACAGGTACAGGCCAGTGCTGAATACTCCTCCTTGGTGGTATTCCCTGTGTTCCATCCTTTATCAGCTTCTCTTTTTACACACAGGAAGTCCATGAGTTCCCTATTGAGCCAAGGCAGGTTGCCCAGCCCTCTTGCTACTTTTTCTGTGGGCTGGAATGGACTTTTCTTGTGCTTCAAGGATTGCATCCTTGAGGAGTGACCACTCATCACGGACTCCCCTCCCTGTCAGATTATGGCCTCTCAGGGCCTCGACAACTAGCCTCCTGAGCTTGTGAAAGTAGGTTTTCCTAAAGTCAAGGACTTCCACATTGCTGACTGACTTGCCAGGTTTGCGGTGGATAGAGAAAGTGATCAACTCGTGGTCACTGTCTCCCAGCTTCCCTTCGATTCTCAGGTTGCTCACTAGATCATCCCCTTTGACTAGTACCAGGTCCAGCAGCACCTTACCTCTTGTCGGCCCATAGACTTCTTGAGACAAATAGAGTTCCACAGTGCATGTGGGGAAGCGTTGCAACCAATCAGATTTGGCTGAGTGCTCTTCCCATGAGATGTCAGGGTAGTTGAAGTTGCCCATGACAACCATGCACGAGAGCGTGCAGCCTCAGTCAGTTTCATAGCAAATTCATGTTCAAGTTCTTGCTCCTGATTAGGAGGTCTGTAGTAGATTCCTACCGTTATATCACCTTCACCATGTTCTCCCTGTATTCTTACCCAGAGGGTCTCAAGTCACTCTCCTTGGTTGCCAATCTCTGCCTGTAGGGAAGTGTACTGCTCCTTCACATAAAGAGCTACACCCCTGCCCTTTCTTGCAACATGATCTGTCCTGTACAAGGTATAGTCATCAATACCTGTGGTCCAGTCATAGGTGGAGTCCCACCAGGTCTCCATTATTCCTATGAAATCATAGTCATTTCTGTTTAGCAGAAGGGCCAGTTCCTCCTGTTTGTTGCCCAGGCTCCTGGCATTTGTGTACAGGAAAGTGAGCCTGCCATCAGACGGATTCCCTGCACTCCTGGAAGAGCTCTGTCCCTGGGCTGGGGTAGAGAAAGTTCTCTTGTGCAGGGAAAACCTTCTGATTTCGTGGTTGATGTTCAGTGGGCTTGCACCAGTGGTTATCCACCCATCCCCCAGCAAACTTAGTTTAAAGTCCGGTCAAGCAGGTCAGCCATTCTGGCCGAGAAGAGCTTCTTCCCCATTCGAGTGAGGTAGAGGCCATCTCTTCCCAACAAATCACTGCCCCTCTCTCTCTCTCTCTGAACTGTGGACTGTGGTCGTGGAAGCTGAAGCCTGTTAACTTCTACATTTCTTCTCTCCTTCCTGTGCCTGTGACCCATAACCAGAAGGATTGAGGAGAAAACCACTTGCTCCCCCAACCCTCTGAACCCTGCCCCCAGAGTCCTATAGTTGTTCATGACGCGGCTGGGATTGCTCTGAGCCATGTCATTCATGCCCACATGGATAAGGAGCATGGGGAATTGGTCAGAGGACCAGATAAGTTTTGGGATCTTCTCAGCTACATCCTGGATACGGGCCCCTGGGAGGCAGCAAACCTCATGGGCTAAAGGGTTGGGGTGGCAGATCGTTCCCTCAGTCCCTCTCAAGGGGGGACTTTGAATGAGCAACTGAAAAATCTGGCATGTGGGGGATGTTTTTACAGGTGTCATTTTGATCACTTAATGTGCCCTACAGGTCAGTGTACACCAGTGGAGTTCTGTGGAGCCACTGTGCACCTTTGCTACCGGGGATGTGACTGTTAGGGCAGGGAGTGCTGCCCCCATCTACAAGGAGCCTGTAAATGATTTGTTGAAAAGATGTGGTAACTGTACCAGGCAAAGCTGCGTCGTCACCTTTTACCTTGTGGGGAAAGGTGAACTCTACAGTCCTCGCAACTATCACTTCCTGTCATCATTGAAGGATGCAGTAGGATTGGAAAAAGCACAGCTCAGTGTAAGTGCCAGTTACTCAGGCTATATTCTTTGCTCTTGCTAAGTTTATCTTCTGTGTTCTGAGAGTTAGATGTCTGTAGTGCAATATCTGTTCTCAAAAGATACGGCTGGTATAGTGTGCAGCCACTGGCCGCAGAAAAGTTAAACAGCCATGGGTTAGGAAAACTCTTGCCGGGGATGAGAGCAGTAACTAGGTGTGTTCAGTCTGGTATGCTTGCGGCAGAGAGGCATGATCTTGCTTTGGTTGTTGGACTGGATGGGCTCCTGATGTCTTCTCCAGAGCTCTTTCTATGATTCTCAGATGGAGGGGAAGGGAGAAATCATGTTTAACAAATACATTTTTAAGATGGTATTGATCATACTGACATGCACCTTTTGAACTGATTGAAACATTTGTTTTTATTACACACATCGTTTACAGAACGAGTAATTGTATTTGTTTTCTCTTTCAGGCCACCATATCTCAGCAAAGTGACCACTATATTTTTGTTCTCCAGACCACTGCAGTTGCTCCTTTTGTTTGGCTGGATGTTGAGAATATAAAAGGGAGGTTTAATGATAATGGATTTCTCATGACTCAGAAGAGAAAGGTGGTTGTATTTTATCCTTGGGAGCCCACCAGCATCAAGGAACTTGAAAGATCACTCTGCTTGACTTCACTATCAGATATTTACTGAGGGGATCTCAGTTCCTTTAGGGAGAAATAGCAGAATAGAAACAGGAAAACTTGAACATAACTAACAATCAAGAGAAGCTGACCACAGAATGTATTGTCCACCTCTGTTATGCGTACATTCCTGATTGTTTGGTTCAATATAAATATGTTTGCAGCTAATACATATAATGTTAAAAGATCTGCTTTCTTAGGTAACTGAAAATATATGTAACTAGTGCTTCTTGTAAAGCACAGTAACTATGAAAAGAAGCAAGGTGGAGATTGACATAACTTGAGTCCTTTAATAGATATTATATTAATGAGTAAGGGTGCAGTTCCAACATATAGCTATAGACCAGGGTTAGTTATTCTGTTCCATGGCTTGAGTTGCCCCTCAGGTTAGAAATATTTGTAGCTCATTGTAAATTATTGTGGAATATGGGTTGTGAATCTACCATTCTAATCATTGTCCCCCATGGTAGCTGTTTGCTTTGTACAGTGATTTTCAGCCAGGGTGCTGCAACACCCTAGTGTGCCATGGAGTGCCACATGTTAGCATTGTTAGCAAACGTGATTCACAGGAGAAACCCAGAGATTTCAAATAGGAATCCATAGTGTCCAAAACATTTGGACCTCCTGTGATCTTTCTGAGTTGTCCGTACTAGCAGAATTGCTCTGTTCCTTTGTGTGTAGTTCAAAATTGAGTGGAAACTAAGAGCTGGCATTTTCCAAAGGGTGCCTTCAGTTTGAAAAGGTTGAGAACCACTGGCTTAGTGTAAACAGTATCTTACCAGTGTTTTGCCACTGGTGGCAAAGTGCTACCATAGTGCCTAATGAGGGTAGCTCCCTTTGGACAGCTGGTTCTGTCTGGTTTGGACCCCAGTGTAACTTATATTGGTGCGCAAAACTGATGTAGGTTACACCAGGGTAAGTGTGATGGGTCTGCACCCTCAGTTGCAGGATTGCCGCAGCCTTAAGTAAGAGGTAGCACAAACCGCCACCCTAGGATCAGACCAGGGACTAAACAGTGACTAGGGGAATGCCTGTTGAATCCTGATATGGTGTCATCGTGGAAGGCAAGAGGGGAGGGAGGAAAAGAGGGGTAAATGGTGCTGAAGGTCTCTAGCAACTGTTCTGTCCTATCTTCCTGTTTATAGGGGGTGGTGGTTAAATGTTTTAACTGCTTTTTAAAAAGTGTAACAAATAAACAGCCTTAGTTTTCTTTGTTGTCTCCAGAGCATGCAAACCTGGACACATTTGCTTATCAGTGATGCCCAGATCTGGTTGGAAACTGGAATTCCCATTCTGGGGAAATTCCGAAATGCTGAAGAAATGTATTTCATAACAAGACGCAAACTGAATTGTTCCAAATCTTACTGAATGGGCAGCCTGGGTTTTTGGTTAAAAGGAAATGTATCAAATAGATTGAAGCAGTTTGTTTTGAACCTTTTGGAAGTGTTCCCAGGACTCCCTGAGTTGCAGAAGCCTGTTGCTGAGCCTGCCAAGGAGGTAGGAGCTGGAAAGTCTGGGTACTTAACAGCTGCCAGGCAGGTTGTTGAGAGGCTGAGCAAGCTGGTAGGATACAAAGCATCTGCCTAACAGTCCAGCTTCTGCAGCAAACCTCCCCGGTTTCTATTGGGATTTTGTTGCATTCTTGTAGAACACTGAGCTGGATCAGCATTTTCCAACAAAAAAATGTAACGGGGGTGCTAATTGCCTTCTGATAATGAGCCACTGAACATCCTGATGAATCGGTTACTGAAGTGAAAAATTGATGGTTGCCTAGGTGCAAGTAAATTCTGGATGAACTAATTCTAGTCCTGATCAGAGGGTTTGTAGCGTGCTTGATTGCTTTAAGAAACTCCAGATGAAAGATGCTGATACAGCATAGCAAAGAGATTTTTTAATGATAAGAGGTGAGCCATGTTAATTGATAATCCTGGATTGGTATAGACTCAGGGGGCTTTTGCCTTTCTCTGTAGTAGGGAATGTGGCCCTCTTCCTTGGATCTCTGGAGCCTATATTAGCAGTATTTGCAGCAGCAGGGCATTGCCCGCTGTGGTCCCTCTGCTTTACCTGTGGCAGGTTAGGGTGTTAGGTCTTGTGTTGGGTCAGGGTTGACTGTAGTTTTGCTAAGAGGTTAGGCAATGAGATGGTTTGGATAGGGATGATACTGCCTCAGGCAGGGGTTGGACTAGATGACCTCTTGAGGTTCCTTCCAGCCCTGCTTCACTATAATTCTGTGACAGTATACATGAAACCAAAGTCATCATACTGTCCCACAGCAACCTGTGTAGTTTGAACTTATGTTGCTTAGACTATATGCATCTAAAGCACATCAAGCCAGGATGAGAGTGGCAAAATAAAAAAAAACAAATCCATGTTAATTTTGGCGGAAAAAAACAAATATTAATTGGAAAAAAAGTTAAAATATCAACTCCACCCCCCCCGAAAATCATTTTGAAAAGGGACAGTATTAATGATTAAAAATTTGTCTTATGGAAAATGTCAGCCAGCAGTAGTGTTCTTTGCTGGGTTTGAATGGAATTGGGTGCCATCTACATGTGCATATTAATGCAATGCAATAAACTCTAGTGCAGTTTCTCCCAGGCATTGAGTTTACATGTGCACCCAGGACTACAACATGCTGAGCTGGGTTGGAGCAGCCCCAGCTGGCAGGGGAAATGGGGATCAGTTTGCCAGCCTAGAGCCACTCCAACCCAGCTCAACGTGCTGTGGAGGGGTTGGCTGGGGCACAAGGATGCTTTAATGTGGGGCTAGCCAGCACGCAGCCCTCACCCTGAAGCACCCTTGGACTCCAGCCAGCTGGGTCAGTGTCTGCACATGCGATGCTATGCACAAATAAACTCTGTAGTAGGATAGTATTTGTATTTACACATACTAACCTGCTGTGGAGTTTATTAGTTTCCTGTGGCTTAATAGGGCCACGTGTAGATGCCAAGATGTTTACTGCGTAGCTAATTAGTCTACTTCACAGTAAACATCTTGTGTAGATGTGCCTACAGGGTACAATCTGAGCAGTGTGAGATAGCAAAGGAGCACTTTTGCCTGCCTGAAGAGTTAGGAGAACATGGTTTGTATGAAGTTCCTAAGGGTTTCATTGCTGTATTCTTTGTCGACCCTCCCCCCACCCTTTCTCTGATCCACACAGTCCATCTCCTGGACACAGCCTGCTAGGCTCTTCTGGTGTTTGCAGTTGGCTTGCAGGGATATATCCAAGACAGCTTTTGAGCCTTACATGAGTGGGCACTGCACTTTGCTGCCCAGCACTGAGCTTTTTCCAAAGGGCCTTAAACTTCCCAAATAGCCTTTTGAATCAATGAGTCTTTTCTAATGAGTCAGAGGTGAGGAGAGAATAGGGGAAAAAATTGACTCGCCTTATCCTACACATTTATCTGTGTGATCCGTTATAGGAAATGATCATTTTGAAAATGCTTGAAAGTAATGCCTTACAGTTGCCCATTGGCATCACATTCTCACTTTGACCTATATTAGCAAGTTTGTTCATCAAACAACAGTCCAGTGAAAGCTGAGTGTAACACCTTGTCCCAAAGGCTTTACTAATACAGGTGAATAAAGTAATGCGTATGGTTTTCACTGCTGGTAATATAGCTGTTGTCCCAGCTGCCAGCAGGAGGGTCCCCCACGGTAGGTACAGGGGAGAACTTTATTGGTTACAAGGAGTAGGGTTGAAATAGGGTACAGGGTAGAGCAATATCAGAGAAATCACATAGAGCAAACTGGCATAACTGGGTAGCTTTCTATCATGCATCTGAGTTACTGCAAGCTATATATGTAGTTAGATCTCAGGTAGCTTACTCACAAGTATCATCCAGAGGCAGTTGGAGATTCCCTTTGGAGGCAGGCAGTTCACTGATCATGAGTTTCAAGAGAGAGAGCAAGTTTCAGATGGTCCAGCTCTTCTCTGAGTTTTCATCATGGCAGCTGACCCTCCTCCTGGGCAGTCCTTAACTTATATAGCCCTTATAACCTCATTATCTGGTCCAATGGAGACCAGCACCTGTTGGCTGCCAGCCAACCAATTTAAAATGCATCATTGGTTGCTGGGCAGACTGGCAGGGTTTCTAGCCCCCTCCCAGTCATGTTGGCATTGCTTAACAACAGGGAGCGTAACCCCCTCACCCAGGTATGTGATGCCAGTCACGTAGGCAGAGGGAGCAAGTTTCCCCCCTCCCTCAGGAATGTATCCAACTCAGGTTACCTAAATAGATGGGATGTCTGCCCTTTGCAGGACCCATGTTAACCAAATTGTCACAGAGCAGAGTTTGGTGAGAGACAGAGATGGTGTTCTGCCACAGTGTGCACAACTGAGCCAGCAGCAGAATGCAGGAGGTGAAGGCCAGAATATGCAAGACCTTCACTGAGTTTTTGGGTGCTTCAGTTTTTCATTATCCATTCTGAGATGCCTGATGCATGGGTCCACCTTCCCTGTCAGGATCAGTTAGCTGTCCACAGTTCCCTCGGTATCAGTGGAAGCGACGTGTGTTCAGTGCTTCTGAAAATAAGGCTTGTGGTGGCTGAAGGGGCAGGAGGTGGGGACACTGCTGTTGAAAATACTGATATTAGCATTGTAGGGATGCAGCTAGCCCTGTGTGTTCCCACACCCAAGTGCCACCCTGCCTTAGGGAAGACATAAAGCATCCTACTACTGCTGTGGGTCTGTTGCAACTGTTCCCACTCATTTCATTTCTAAATCATAAGAAAAAGTAATCTGCTCTAAACCTGTTTCAGCCTGTTTAACATTATACTTCCTCTGCAGCAAGAGTTATGTAAACAGATTCAGGTACAAAGGAAAACTCCTCTTCTGTTAGTGATCACTGTCTTGATTGAACAGCTACTATGCAGCTTTTGGGCATAAAGTGCTTCCAGAAATCCAGATGCAGATGCTTTCTGTTGGTGGGGAACAAATCTAACAGACTAGGCATGCTGAGCAGTAACACATTTATCACTGGTGGCTGCAACATAACAGAAACCTCAAAAAAGTCTGGTAACATACTGGAGTTATGCCTAAAAATCCAGTGTGAGTGGACCATGAATTTTACTCAAGACATCCTTGAGCAAATTTTACTCAAGACATCCTTCTTGACATCTTCATTAAAGAAAGGTGTAGCTTGAGCTGAAAAGGTAGGTCGGTTCCTTGCACTACTAATTTATCAGCAAGAGTGATGTTGTAAAACTAAGGATGCCAAATTCACCCTTGGTTCTAACCTCAGCTGGACCTCCATCCATGTACCTGAAGACAGAAGGAGACCCAAGAGCTTTTCAGTCCATCAGAGCTGCATCTCTTGTTTGCAGGTATAGTTTATAGTTCTGTCCTAATGAAAGAGATGAATATTGGTGGTGGCACTTGGTATATATTCATGGCAATTATTTTTTTCTGGAATCCAGAAACTGCCCTGATTTTCGCTTAAGTCCAAAACACACAACCCTGACAATTTTCTCATAATTAGTGAATCTGAGGAGAAACTCTGCTAGGGAATCCCAGGTAAAGGGGTTTTGGTATCTGACAATCTATGCAAGAACCATCATCTCTAAACTACTAAGATACCAAATGGTCCATTTCATCTCCCTGTTTTAAGGAAACTGATTCTTTAATTGCATTGATTCTGTACTGTCCATTCTCAATTCCTATAACAAATAGTGAAAAGATTTGCATTCTCCAGAAAAAACAAAGAAAAAATTAAAGGGGAAATAAAAGAGAAGGAAGGATTTAATTTAATTTTTTATTATAAAAGTAAAATAAAAATAAGCATTTTAAAGAGCACAAATTTCTCCTTTAAAAAGGTGAGTCTAAAAACAGTATTTACAGTAGGAAGATGTCATACTTGATAGGCACCAGAGTAAAGTTTAAATTACATTCACTGAAATATACATGATCCTTTTGTTGTTGTTTTTAAATCACAACAAGTTGGCATCAAGGGACATTATTTAACACATTTATGAGCTTCCTTTTCCATGCAACTATGCTATAAAGCTTTGAGAAGGATAGTCAGAGGTTTTTGTCTTGCAATTGCTCTGGGTGTCCTACCTTTCCTATGAAAGTAAGCTGGTCATTCCAACTTGTAAGAAAACAGTGACTTCCATCCATAAAGAAAATCTTGGACACCAGGAAAACTCAGTCAGTTCCTTCCATCCAGCTCTATATTACGTGTTATTGGCATTCTGGTTATGGTACATTGATTGTAAATGAACGCAAGTAAACATACTTAAGAAACAAGGAAGGAAGTGATGTTTATGAGCCACTTGTTCAAATGATTCTTTTCCAGTGCACTTTTGGCTGTAAGCTCATTTCCATCCCCCCAGAGAAATTCACACAGGCAGAGTTTTAAATGTCATTTTGCTTTCTATAATTGTATACTGTGAAGTGATTAGATTTTGCCTTGTATCGAGTGTTCTTGGCCGTAGCCCAAGGCCATTTTGCTAAGTGTTATTGATTTGCTGTTCAGGGACTCGGAACAAGTAAAGCTAAGTTTGCGGAAGGAAGTCTCCACTCCACTATCACACATGCTTTCAGTGTCTTGGAATTTGATATCATAAAGTTCACCTGGGAGAAAAACAAAGAAAAGAAAAGAGCACATCATTCTTCTTCATCCTGGATTAAAACCATAAGCCACTATAATGCCTGAAAGAGACATGAAAAGCACTTGGCTAGACAAGAGCACTTTTAAAGAAAACTGAAAGTTGTGCAACTTTAGGGCACAATATTGCAACAGGAAAATGTGCTACGTGTTTTTCCTCACAAGTGCCCAAAGTATCTGCAGTTTAATGCACTGTCATACTGTGCTGCTTAAGACGAGAACTAGGCATTAGCAGTGGGTACAGTCTAGGTAGGATTAAAAACATGGTTACTGTACATTTGATTCCATGCATTTAAACTGGCAGCTATACTGCTCTCAAAGTTAATGCTAACATGCCCCTGGAGCAGTGCCTGTTAGCACTCAGTGGGAGAATAAAGGCCTTCTGGACCTAAGAGCCTTATTTCATGTTAGACTTAAGATGTGTTAACTGTACTTAAAACATGAGCATCTGTGCATTCAAGCAGGAAAACGTGCTATCGTATGGTAGTAAGGTTAGCACTCTTCAGGCAAGGAATATCTCTAGATCATGTTATGTAATCTTCACGGGTCCTAATGCTTTGCTGGGGATAGCACTAACAAATAGCAATGTCCCCCACCCCACCAGAGCTGGTTCAAAATCCTAGCACTGCACTGGAACCAGTTCAATACTCCAGTGCAGAAGGAGGGCTGGGACTGACCAACAGGGATATATCAGTGTAGGCTGTTTGTCAACCACACAGCCAGGCTCCAGGCCTGCCCAGGCTCCAGGCCTGCCCAGAGGGCTGAGATCATAGTAAGCATTACCATGCAACTGCTCAGAAGCCTTTCCAATGCATACTAATGCTTATTATAGTCTAAATAAAACATTTCCTAAGTGTAATGTGTGACACTTATATGTGTGAAGTGTTGTGAAACTAGAGTCCAGGATGAGGCATTTTCACACATTTTTCTTTTTTTATATATACAGATATTTGTTAAGTACTTTAAATAATTTGCATCTTGTTAATCTGAGTCTGGATTCAGAATAATCATCTGTGCCAGAACAAAGGAATAATTGGTGGTAAAGTTACATCCCCCAAGTTGAAGATTCTTCTGACAGAAATCAACCCTTCCTCTTTGTGAAGCTGACAACACAGAGAGTTTAGCACAAATGCAACAGGCTGTTCAGAAGCTCATGGAATTTTGATTTTTTTTTTTTTAAACAGCTTGTTTTCAGATTGGACCTGGGATGTGGGCTGTTAAATGTTGCTAGGCAGCAAAAGCTCTTTTATTACCAGTGTTGCTAATTAGATTTGTTGCTTTGTTCAAGCACATGGAGAGAGGTGTGCAGTCTGATATGACCTGACAAGTAAAACTATAGCACTTAAACTAGAAAATGGTTGTAATATGGAAATGAAACTTGCCTATTCCATTTTCCCTCTCAGTGGGTGCATCTACATGAGACACTGACTATACAGTAGCTGAAAAATACTGCACAGTAGTGCATCACAGCACAGACAGAGCTAATGCACTACTGTGCAGTATTATTAAACGACTGAGCAGTAGCATTACCTAAAAGACGTTCAACTAGTGCTACTGCATAGTAATTCTGGTTACAGTGCATTTATTTAGTACATGCATTAGCAAGTATTAAATAAATGCACAGTAACCGGAAGCAACGGAAGGAAGTAAAGTGAAGGAAGTGATGTTTATGCAAGTACTAAATACATTGTAAACAACTTGTACTAGCAAGTACTAAATAAATGTGCAGTAACGACTGTGTAGTAGCATCTAATGTAGACATGCCCAGTGGCCTCTAATACTTAGTGTCCGGGCTAAGGAGGCACTTGATCGATGAACAGGGCATCAGAAGACCTAGGTTTTATTGTTCTTTGCACAGCCACTGAGGTCACAAAACAAGCCAGACTATTCACTTTGCATCTCTGTGGCTCTCTTGTTAAAGTGGGGTAACTCGCACTATCCACCTTCTCTACAGCACTTTGAGATGTGCAAGTGAGAAGCATTGTGGCAATGGTGACTATTATTACTATGTTAAAGCTGCATATCTTGATATCTTTAGTGAGCAGTTAATGAACGCAGACTGCTTAAATCCCTACCCCATCAGGCCTGACAAGTTTAAAATGAGAAATTCCAGCATCTTCCCAGACAGACAGGTGACTGGGGTTGTTCTGCACACAGACAACTATTAAGCTGTACTGGCATCACAAGAAAAAAACTTCAATGCAATCTCAGAGGTGGTGCAAGCACCTACTCTGCATACTTTAAAAAAACACTTGGATGCCTATCTTGCTGGGATCATTTGCCCCTTGCTGACTTCCTGCCCTTTGGGCAGGGGGCTGGACCCGATGATCTCGCAAGGTCCCTTCCAGCCCTAATGTCTACGAAATCTACTGCTATCTATTTTTACCTGTCTGTTGTTTAGTGGATGGAACAAATGGTGATAGTGGTGGAGCCTTGGAGGTAAAATTCTCCTGGCTGCACTCAGTTAGTGGGACGGATCGTGCTTTCTGAATGATTTCAATTGCTTCTGTGTAACCCATTTGCTTCAAGGCATCGACTAACTCCTTTACTGTACCACCAGAAACCTAAGATAAAATGAAGAGAGAAAATAAACAGCATGATGGAAGACGTGTTGCAAAACAGCCTCGCCCTCCGTGGAGGAGGAGAACATTCCCCCATAGAGCTCTGGGGATCACATGTACTCTTTAGGATATACTTAAAACTGAATTACCTCATAGTTATCTAGCAGAGTTTTTGATGGTGCGGGACTCAATCTGAAAGCATTATTGAGTATTCCAAGACCCAGCTTTTGTGCCAGGGTAGACCAGTTTTTGTTTGGGTCAGGTACGTCTAATAACTTGTACAGCTGCATCTTGGAGTCTTCATTCAGCTCTTTCATATCTCCTGGTAAAAGAGACTTAGAAACTAAGTGCATCACAAGTAAAAGCTAATCTTCAGTTTACATAATCACAATCCTGTTTACAGCCCAAAGTGACAGTCAACTTTCTGAAAACCAGTTAGTTTCTGAGGGCATTTTATACACATGCTCTAGGGTGGGAGAAGAGGGGGCGGGGTACTTTAATTAGAAGAGCTGCTCTAATTAAAGTGCCCGGAGCATCTTGTGCATCAGTGTCCCATGCTGAAAAATGGTGGCGGGGGCACTTTACTTAAAGCTCATTGAATGAGCTTTAGTTAAAGTGCCCTTGCCGTCATTTCTTCAGCACAGGATATGCTAATACACGTGATGCTGGAGTGTGGTGTCACAACCCAAAGTTGTGGGTTTTTTTTGTTTGTGTGCGCTTCGGCATCGCTAAATCATGTTCCCGCCAAATTGCAGCTCTTTTGCACGGTGGAGTGTTCTGCTGCAACAGAGAACGCACGTGCAGGAGCTTTTCCCGCCAGTTCTGTAGCTTTCTTTGCATAGTGCATTTCTTTTGCATTATAGCAATGCGCGATGCAAGGAGTCACTGCCATTTGTATCGCGCCACATTATTGGCCAGTCTTAATGTAAGCACACGTGGCGGCTAGCTATTGGCTTGCTAGTCGTACAAAAGGCTTGGGTAGTTTCCGCCCAAATCGGAGAGAGAGAGAAAGCACGTGGAGTTCGGGAAAGGAGCGTGAGGATCTCTAAGCGCTGCTGATCCATACGAACCCAGCTTTTTCCTTAAGAGGGCAACAGAGGTTTAATTTGTCGAACCCACGGAGCTTCAACAACTCCGGGGAACCTATTTACCGTCCCCTCAGAGCCTTAACGACTCCGAGGCAACTAACTAGCCTCTCCCCGTCACCGATCGCAGCCCAGACATATCCCTATCCTAAGGACCCAATTGTCAAGCCCACGGAGTTTAACAGCTCCGGGGGACCTGGGAACCAAGTAGCACTCACGGAGATACAGCTGCTCCATGGGAACGAATTCTTGAACCCGCGGAGCCTGATTCACTCCGGGGTCAAGGAACCGAGTTCATTAGAGTCCTCCACCGAGAACTCAAGCAGAGCTGAGCCTGGAAAACTGACCAGCCTACACCGCGACCACCTTGGGTGTAAGTAAATAATCTTTTCAATCGACCATTACGCCTCCGTGACTGATTCTAGCTTGAGCATGCTATACCGCACTGCGGTATTTTCCAACCCCGTGTACCCGGGCTACCGGCCACAGCCTGTGTACACACAAAGACGGGCCCCCGGCTCGCACATGGCGACCCAGATGGGATCGGGAGAGAGCTCGCACATGGCGATCCAGGCGGGATCGGGAGTCGGCCCGCACATGTGGCAATTGCAGACTTGATCAATCAAGTCTGGCCTAAAAAGTGAGTAAATCCTTTGATTGGGAAATGTATTAAAGTATTGTGTGCACTTCAGCAGAGCCATGACCACACAGGACTGTGTAGCTTCCTAACTCTAAAGTCAGGATCTTATGCGACTGTATAAAGAATTGTGTTTGTTCTACCAATGGCAGCACGTCTGATGTGTGCATTTCTCTGTTACATTACAAACTAGGATGGGCAATAACTGCCTCTCCTGCGTTTTATACAGTGCCAAGCACCCTGTCCGTGCACAATAAATAATTAACAGATGGGCAATGTCAGAGCTTTTCCTTTTGTATATACTCAACCTGGTGCTAGTAGGTCATCAGAAGCCACCTTTGATTCATAGGGTTTGCCATTTAATATGTCATACACCTGTGGAGTGGAAAACAAGAAAATCAGTTTTGATATCTGGAAGAGACCTGTTATTTCTTCTATATTAAGTCTGAGTAGTAGTCTCCACTCTGTTTTTAATGATCAATCAGCTACCCAATCTTTTTGTCTTGTCACAGGCTTTGCAGGACTAAAAGTGCTGCAGAAGACTTGCTTGGCCCAAGCATGAAATGAAGAGAAACTGTCTTTAAGCACGGTCACATGGCAAGTGCCAGTGTTTTTCTCAGGATGGAGAGGGAAGCTTCTCAATTTGATTGCTTAAAGTTAGGCCCCTTAATCCATATTTTGATTTTTAAACACGGTAGCACAATTCCTAGGAGTGCTGAGCACATGTGCTTACTGGTGGACTGTCTCCACAAAACCAGCCCCTTCACTCAGTTGCAGAAACATGGATTAAAGAGCCTAACTTTATATAAGTCCATAGCCTCTGCCTTAAGCCTTTACATGAACGCTCATTACTACTGCGCAGTAGTGTCACGTGGCATGAAGCATGACACGATGTTACTGCACAGTAGGAACAAGCTATTGCATAGTCAGTGTCACCAAAAAGCCGTTCATGGACTCATGGACACAAGCCATACACAAGCACTAAATGACTGCACAGCAACAAGTGCACAGTCAGCATCTCATGCAGATGCAGCCAGTGTATGCGATATGACAGAATTCACTTTCACCGTGCTCTACAAAAGTCCCTGAACATGAACCCGTGGTAAAAATCTCCATTGAGATGCCTCAGACAAAGTAGGGACAGATCCTCAGATTGATGTTCTGAAAAGGATCTGGAACAGTTTGGTATATGTGCAAGCCACTAAAATCAACTCTTCTGGGTTTTTCTTTTGAATACTTCAGTGTGACCATTTTATGAATTTGTAAACCACTTGTGTGTGAAGCCCACAATGACACCATGGTAGACTGTCTCCTTTCAGCAGCTACTGGGAATCTAAGGTTCCCTGTGAAGACTGTGCTCTTAAAAATAAATAAAACTGTAGTTTGTGGATCCCAGTTGCAAAAGGAGCTGCTGCAAGAACTAAGATTTGTATTGAACACCAAACAAGCTAGGCACAGTACCTTGGATTTTCATAATGAACAAGTTTCAAGTTTTTCAATTAAAGTCACCACTGATGGTGAGTGCCATATGTCTTATCACATACTTTAGTCTTCACATTAAACTAAAAACAAGGAATCCCTGCATTTGTTCAAATAATTGACAAGTGGACCAGATCACTTGCCTCCCAGCTGGTGGCCATGTCCAAAGGTGTCGTTCCAGGTACAATTCCTTCATCTTCATCATCATTGCCTTTCACATCCTCTGGATCAAACAATGGCTCGAAGTTCTCAACATGAGGATCTGCACCTGGAAAGTCACAGAGCAGTTGTTAAAAGTATCTTTCAAAAGATGGAACGATCCATCTGAATAGAAAATTCTCACCATGGTCTGTGTGTAAAGACATTAGTATGGCTTCAGTTGAAGACAAATTGTTTAGTTAAATTTTCAACATTTCTATACTGGTATATTAGTTGGGATCCTGCTGGGGATAAAGTTATAAGTTCAGGTAAATATCTAGAAGGGAAGATGCTTCTTCAAACCACCAGGTGGCTCAACTTTTATTTACTTTATGAAGAAAATGAATGAATTAGAAGGCTTAGAACTTCAGTTTTTCAACAGAGCTTAAAATGCATGTTCTAAGATTTGGATATCAAATGTACTATTTCTTACACTATTGATGAAAGGATATAAAACAAGATAAATCATATACTCATCCCACATAGCAGCATTTTTCACCTTGTTAAGCAAATGCCAACTAAAAAGGTGAGCCTTGCAAGAGCTCGATATAGGTGTGCAGCATTATACTGAAAGAAAATTAGCAGCAGAAAGGCAAAATATTTAACCTAAGACCCCGAAGGAAGTAAGTCACATGCATAAAAGAACTGAAGTTTGGAAGTTCCTGGCATCTGATCCTGTGCTTGGATCACACAAAACAGGGGCTTCCCTGTTTTTAATCAGACAAAAAAAATGCTAGGTAGCGAGTATTGTCAAAAGAACATGCACTGCAGAGGGAGGTATGAGTTTTTATTCACCTGTAACACTGGCCTAAATAGAGAAATGAGGCATGGCACAGAGAAAGGGGTGACCCCAGTAAGCCGATACTCTATCCTGACAGCTGTGAAAATTAAATCAATTAATCTCCACCAGGATTCCCCCAGAGAGGGGTATAGGGGATAAAAAAAGGTATGAGCTTGGAGTGATTTCCCTTTATGATTTTAAAGCATTTCAAAAACAAACCAATGCAACATTAAGTCATTTTGGGAGAAATTTCTTTAGATACAAGAGCCAATAAAGATAAGAGCTCAGAAGTTCACAAAAGATTAATTGCCTGCGAGACTGTAAACACATTTCCTGTTGTAAATGCCAGTACTGCCATTATGTATCCCAGCAGGTGGAGCTAAGGAGCCTTTGGTCAACTGTAATTCCTCCTTCCTAAACAATTTGTAATGCCTGTGACACCTCAGATGTCTAGTGCCTGAAAGGTCAGGAGAGCTGCTCGTTAATTTAACCTATCACGTGCATCAGAGAATGCCCCAAACTTTGGATCTAAATTCACAGTTAACAGTAAGTGACGTTCACTGAAGAAAAGCTGCCCTCTTAAAAAAGATATGCATCATCATACCTGCTGCTTTGAGAAGAGCTGTCAGTTTTGTGGAGCCCCTTCCAGCTGCTATATGGAGTGGAGTGGTTCCATCATATGTAGTGCTGTCAACATATGCGTCGCCCTGAAATGTAATTAGAGACAAAAAATGAAAAAAATAATATGCATATCTGTTCATAATAGTTTGTCCCTCATGTCTACATAAATGCTGCAATAATTCAAATGAGGCCCAGTCTGTCCTCTGCACAGAGCACCTAAACCCAGGACAAAAGGAACTGGAAACATCTATGTTAGCTTTGTACACATTAAATCATGTTTGTATGTTCCTACGTTAACGAGATGCCCAGTAAAAAAACCTAGATAGGTTAGCTGAGCAGTATGAAAGCCTATGCTTTGAATCCATTGTTCTACCACCATCTGCTTATCCTGAGGTCCAAACCACTATCCAGTTAGAGTTCTATTTTTTGCTTTCAGTGGAAGCATGAGAGTACAATAATGTACATATACATACACATTATATATATCCAAATATACACCAAAGCCACATGTATAATCACGTGTAAAGCCAAAACATCTTATTTCTACAATGATGTATAAGCATACACACACACACACACGTATTATGTGCATGTGTGTATACCTTGTCTACATATGCCCTGATTCTGCAAAACTGATGTTCTTAACTTTGCACATAAGCAGTCACATTAAAAGTTAAGCATATGCCTGCAGTGTCAAGGCCATAGGCTATAAAAACAGGATTGCACTGAGCATACTGTATTAACATTATTTGTTCAGCATTGAGAATGTGTGTGCTGGCTCTTATGCAAGCAATCAAAGCAACTACAAAAAATAGTCAATAGCCTTCTAATTTTGCTCCATTTAAGCACTTACAAATTTCAAAGCCTTATTAAATTGGAAAAAGACATGAACCAGGGAGAAAAAAAAGCCCACACCCCAAAGCTATCTTCATGGCACTTACCTCAAGCAGAAGGCAGCCTGCCAAAGAGATGTTCTCTTGTTCAACAGCCAGATGCAATGCAGTTCGTCCAGATTTTTGTTCCTGAGCGTTGATGTCAGCTCCAGCAGCAATCAGCAGCCTGAGGCAAGACATGCTATTTGCTAGCACTGCCATGTGACTTGCACTGAGACCTACAGAACAAGATATGAAAACTGACAAATGTGGAAATGATGTGATAAAAAGTTTATAAAAGCTACATTTGCAGAACTGCAGAAAATTACTGAATTTACTATAGCTATCTGATGAGGTATTTTTGTGTTTTTCTGTACAGTTGTCTGTGTAAACTACAGTGGGGTATGGTCTTAAAAGATTTAAAAGTCCATAAATTTGGAACAGGTGCTTTAAGGGTGTGATTTCAAAGTCATGAATGGCCTATATAGGTCATCCTAACAAATGGTAACTAGATTATGGTACCACACTATATTAATGTACAGGCCAAGTGCTGCATTCTTCCAGATTAATTGGTACACTTCAATATCTTTCCCCCTATAAAGTGATGCTGCCTTATTTGAGACAGGTGCAGCTGAACTCATGGTGATAAGAGGAAAAAAAATCCTTTTATATTTTAGATGCCTCTAAAACTGACCTAAAATAGCTGTTTTAATTCACAACATTTTTAGCTTTGATACTTCACATCTACCAAGAGAGAAATGTTAGATACAAATAAATTGCAACATTGAAGAATTGGGGAATCTTGGCTTTCCGGGCATTCAAAGGCTCAAATTTCTAGTTCCAGTTGGTCACAACATAACAACATTAAATTGGTCTCTGGTACAGGAATGATTATTGGCCATCTGTTCCTCAAGCCACTAGCTGCTTGGGGAGCAAAGGGAATTTCCTTCAAGGGAAAAAAAAGAAACATATCCTTAATGGGATTTTTTGCAATAATGGCTGACAGTACACAGAAGTAGTAGTAGTAGTGAAATGGCCAAACTAAATTAAGAAATACAAGTTAAATGCAATTAAAATGGAACTGCAATTTATCATGCAGACGTCACCATTACACAAGTGGCATACAAATTATGAATCTAGATATTTATTATTTTCTCTCTTGTGCATGCATGTGAAAGCAAGTGGGGACAGACTGAATACTGGAGATCACTATAAAAGGCAGAAGTACAAATTTTGTATTAATCTTTTTAACATATATTGTAAATGACCAATATGTTCATCCAATGGATAATATGGAAAGCGGCCCTGGTCTTTCTGTACCTTCTCCATCTGAAAGGTTGATCATCAGAGAGGTTTTCTTGTGCTTAAGGAGTATGCCCAAAATGTTGTCATCTCCCTCCTGGGCCGCTAAATGCAAGACAGAGTTCCCATGTCGATCCAGAGAACTGACATCAGCCCCAGCCTTCAGCAGATCTTCCACCACATCCGCCTGTTTTGTGATAACTGCCAAGTGCAAGGGGGTCTGGAAAAGGCAAAAGGAAATGACCACAGGAAGGTGAGCAACGGACATGTTGTTTCAACAGAACTCTCTTAATAAGATTACTTCCTGAGTTTCAAATGTGTTTTTTTCTTTTCCCAGAAAAAGGTTCTATGCTACTGAAGTGTTAGATGCACACTAGTATGCCTTTTTCTTCTATTGAATTGTTAATACTACTTATAGAGAAAATAAAAGTTTTGCAGCCTAATGTCAGCATGTAGAGTAAGGGCCTGATCCTGCTTTCCCCATGTTCCTCAAGCTCCTACTGAGGTGACTGGATGAGCAAGGACTTGGCAAGAAAGGGGCAAAGACACTCTCGCGTGTCCATGCTGAACAGCTGTGCTGGACCTTAGGGATCTGTAGAGCATTGAGGTTTGAGGAAATGGATTTCTTTGGCTGTTCCCAATTACCATCTAACCAATCCCCCTGCTTGTTCATGCCCTTCTACCCATGGGCCTTATTCCATGCCATGCAGGGAACATGCAATTTTTGGAGCTTACTTTACTTCTGTCCCTTCCCATCTGCTGCTGAACTACACTCCAATTGCTTCCCAAGAATCCTCCACAGCCCTGAGTTTAAGAGCCAACATTGACCACAGTCCTTAAAATATGAGGCTATGGTAAACACAACTTTGTGTTCTTCTCAAAACTGAGGAAGTGTGGAAGAACGGTGCCTTTATACACGTCTTGTCTACCCAAGTGACATAAACTGCGTTTTTTCATTTAAGTGATAAGGGTGTCAGCTGGTTTTAGTGGTTTCTAAGGAAAGACTGTATGCTGCAATCTATCTTCCAGTGGGTAAACAAATATTCTGATGGACCTTTTTCACAAAATATATTAGATTTCCTCTGTAAGCCTTCATAGTGTGAGGAAAATCAGATCCCCAAGAACCAAAAATCACCTAAAAATGTACAGTTCATGCCACAAAATTACACTTACCAGCTAAATCATCAACATCAACCAGACTAGCATAACAGCATACCTGATAAAGATCATTTCTCATATTGATGATGTCATCAAAATTCAAATCCCGCATCACTTCTAAGAGGTTTCGCACCAGCTCAGCGTGAAGGTGGATAATTGCTAAATGAAGTACACTGAAACAGATAAATAAATCACTTACAACATTTGGTAAGGGATTTATTCAGTGCATGCTGACACGAGAGGTGTTTTCCCTCCGAATTGTCATGACGGCTGGGCTCCAAATGCACAACATGCAACAGCAATAAAGAGAAAAATGTTGTACAATAAAGGTCATCTTCCCAGCCCTCTCTGAACTTTTCAGTAAAATTCAGTCCATTTTCATTTAAAATTAGTAGAGAACCAATAGGAGGGGAATAGGCTGGCATGAGAGTAGCTCCTACTCTAAATCTAACTCCAAGCTTTGGATAAGAGGAACCAATCTAAAAAGTGTTAAAATACCTGGAATTTTTTAGAAGCATGAGGAACGTGAATGAAAACGTTCACACTTTCAGAACCTGTATTCAAAATTTCCACAAGACACTGTAATAAATGCAGAGTTTCCCTTGGGGATTTCCCCGACTTTGTGGGGGTTTTTCTTTACTTCCTTTTCATAAAGGTGACTAAGGAGCAGAGGATTCAGTTAGATAGAGATGTAATGCCAAAGGGAAAAACCTGCTTCGGCTGTGTAAGCAACCACACATGACAAGACCGTATCTTTTTCTCAGACTAAAGCAACTGGATTTGTTGTGTTCTCCCTCAGCCCTGGAGCCTTCAGCACCAGCATGCAGATTATAACTATGAAAAGACAGACAGCAAAGAAGGGATAGCTTACTGCCCCCATGCTAAGATACTTAACTGGGTTATCCATACATTTCAGTATTCAGTTAAAAAAGTGTTACATAAAGCCCCAGCTCCTGGAGCCATGTGAATATATGTTAGAATCTCAACTTTCATTTTAAAAAGTCTCAGCCTCCTGGTTCATAGGAAAGCAGAGCTGGAAGGAACTTCACAAGATCATTTATTCCAACCCCCTGTTGAAGGCAGGACTATCCCTGACTAAGCCATCCTAGCCAAGTGCTAACCTGCTCTGGACAACTTCTAAGGATGGAGATTTCACGTTTTCTCTAAGTAGCCTGTATCAACACTACAGGTAACAGACCTGACCTTCATAGTCAGAAAGTTCCTCCTAACCTCCAATCTGAATTTCCTCTGCTGAAATTTGAGGCCACTGCTCCTAGTCCTGTCCCCTATAGGCTTTTCTCTGTGGCTATCTCTGTCCTCTCTGTAATCACCCTTCAAGTATCTGAACATTGTTATCAACCCGCCTCCAAGCCCCTCAGTCTTCTCTTTTCCAGACTGAAAAACTCTAATTCTTCTAGCCTTTCCTTGTTCTTAAGTCATACTTTGAAGGCCCATAATAATTTATTGTTGCTCTGTGCTGGACTCTTTCCAAACCGTCCACATCCTTCTTGAAACATGGGGCTCCAAACTTGACACGGTACCCCAGGTGAGGCCTCACCAGCTGGAGAATCACTTCCCTTGTTTTACAAGTGACACTCCTGTTAATACAACCCAGAATGCTATTGGCATTTTTTATTTTTTTTTTTTGCAATAAGAGTACATTGTTGGCTTATATTCAGCTTATAGCCCACTAGAACCCAGAGGTCCTTCTCTACAGTAATGCAGCCTAGCCAATCATTCCCTAGGCTGTATTTGTGCATGCCATTATTCCATCCCAAGTGCAGGACTTTGCACTCATCCTTGTTGAATCTCTTTTGATTGACTGTGGACTACTTCTCCAGTCTCTTCAGGTTATTTTGGATCCTAGCCCTACCCTCCAGAGTGTCCACAACTCCACCTAACTCAGCATCATCCACAAATTTGCCAAGTGTGCGCTCAATACTATCATCTAAAGCCACCTTACAGTACTTTTATCTAGTCTGTAGTTCCTTAGCTTGTTAATGAGTGTCACAAGAAACACTGCCAAAAGCCTTGCTAAAGCAGAAGAATCTGCTCTCCCCCTATCCATAGAGTCTGTCATCTTATCCTAGAAGGAAATCAGGTTGGTCAGCAGAAGTTGCTCTTTGTCAATCCATGTTGACTATTCCTGATTACCATGTTCTCCTCTAGATGCTTCACAATAGATTCCTTGAGGACCTGTTCCATGATCTTCCCAGGTATCAAGGTCAGACTTGACTGGTCTGTAATTCCCCGAATCTTCCTCCTTCCTTTTCTTAAAGATGGGCAATTACATTTTGCTCTTTTCCAATCATCCAGGACCTCACTTAATGTCCAAAAATTATCAGTGTCTTCAGATTATAACCATAAATTATAATCTCTCCCCATCTTTCACAAACACCTCACAGAAAATATACTATTCCCTTATGTCTAGAACTGCTAAATTACAGTAGCCACTCAATGGATGCACTTCATAGACTCAGTTCTGCCTGTATTCTATCCAAATTTGAACTAATCAAGGCATTAACCACTCAGAACTAGCAAACCACAAAATAACCTCATTCAATTTTTTTAGTACCATAGGGTGCATCACATCTAGTCCTGCCTGCTTGAAAGCATTTAGCTTCTAAGTAATCCTTACCCCATTCTTCTATTTCTCTAGGCTGTTTGTGTCCTTCACTACCTTTGCTACCAAAAGTACTCACCCTCTAGGTGCTGTCTCTATTTGTGAATGAAGTAAAAAAAAAAAAGGGCATTAAATGTTTCAGTCTTCCCTGCATCATCTATAACTAGACTGCCTACCACATTTCATAAGGGTTTCTTTGGTCTTTCTCTTACTAATTCAATTTTAGGATTTCAGGGGGTCTGACACTAAATTTGAATGCTGGGAGTCAGCAATTCTGGGCTGCTTCCTTCATTTTTCTAGCACTGGCCGCCTCGGTCCCTTCTCTTAGTCTCACTGTTGTTACATAAGCACTTGTCTTGTTTGTAGTTCTTGCCATCTGGAACTTATCTCCTACCATTCTACCACATTGACTATTTTCAAATCTGAGCTTAAAGCATGCTATTTCTCATTTGCCTTTTATTCTCCATTTGTCTTTCCAGTTGCTAAAAATTTACATTGCATCTGTACTTAACTCTGTCAAGATTTGCCACACGTGCATTTCATGAAAGATCCAACAGTTCACTAATTCCTTAAACAAGCTGATAAAGCTAGTAGTTGTTACAGTAAATCTAAGAATCACAGTATGAGATGGAAGGACACAAAGGCCTTTATCCTCTCAAGAGAACCATACTTATCCAGTATAATGGCCCTTCTTGAAGACCATTAATGCATTTGTGACAGACACTTACTTTTTATCTCAAAGGCAAAATACATTAATACATTTACCACTCCTGAACAAAACTGTTATAATACTTCTCCTAGACTGTGAGTTCTGCTTTGTAAAACAGCTCTTTCAAGAGAATGGGGAACCACTGCCCCCAAGAGCAAAGTAATTTGAAGCATGTACATCAACTAAAGGCTCAAAAAGGTACTGGGCTGAAAGCTTGTACAGTTATGATCCCTGACTGACCCCATAAGTTGATATGTAGAATGAGCTGACAGTGCTCTTGGGCCTTCAGGGACAAAATCAATTTAAGCCTCAGGCAGTAGCTGCTTACTTGTCACCATTATCATCCTGGACAGCAGTGAGATGGCGCTGAACAGCTAGTAACATCTTCACATCTCCAGTTACAGCATAGTCAAAAAGAGCATTGGCATGACGTTTAGCGAGCTGCATGGCCTTCTCCAGGAACACTCCATCTGTACCACAAATCATCATGTTCATTATACAACTACAAATTATCTGTATGCAATGAGCAGAAACATCACAAGAAGTATGGTGGCTAACAGGCTAGCACCAAAAACATTTCCTGTTGGCAGATGTTAGTCTTGCTGGGTGAATATACACTATTCAGCACCTTTTACAGACTCTCTGAGGCTCACAGCTAATTCACTGGTTTGTCCAAATAGAAAGAATGGTTTCTAGAAAAAGAAAGTGGAGTGTCAGCTGAGTACTCAGTGGGTTCATCTACATGAGATGCTATGGTGCAGTAGCAATGACCTATTGTGCCGTAGCTCATTGCTATGGTGATGTAGTGTCTCTGGGCACAAACTATGATGGCGATGCTATTTCGTAGTAGTAACAAACTAGTGTGCAGTAGCTCATTGCTACTGCATAGTAGCATCTAAAATAACCATGCGGGGATGGTACTGCGCAGTAATGGTGGTTACAGCACAGTCATTTACTACTTGGTTAAGCAAGTACTAAATGACTGTGCAGTAACAACAGTGCAGTCCACCGCTCATGTAGACGTGGCCAGTAGGGAGGAAACCTAGGAGCAGCCCAACTTAGATCCATAGATGCTTGGGTCAGAAGGGACCTCAACAGATCATTGATTCCGACCCCCTGCCTGGGGGAAACCAGGTATAGGGGGCTTAAGTGACTTGGAAGTTGGATACAATCTGTGCCAGAGCCACGGAATACAGCCTGGGTCTTAAATTTCCCGTCTTTGACCTGAACCAAAAGTTATACTCTCCCCGCATCATTCACAAACACCTCACAGAAAATATATTATTCCCTTATGTCTACAACTGTTAAATTACAGTAGCCACTCAATGGATGCGCTTTGCGGACTCAGTTCTGCCTGTATTCTTTCCAAACCTGAACTAATCAAAGCACTAACCACTGAGAACTAGCAAGCCACAATTTCTTCCCTTGGCCTCTGGGTACTACAGGCTCTCAAAACCAAGCAATTATCCCTTGTAGGCTTCAATAGTGTAATCCTGTTACTGTCTGACCTTGATTTTACAAACTGCTCTTTGTAACATTGTTCAAGGAAACCATAATAGTACATGACATAACATGTCCGCCTCTATCCCAAACCAAAAAACAAACATTCCTCATGAAAGAGAAGCATATGTTACATGTGGTCAGAAAAGCATATTCCTTATCAGCAGGGGAGGATCCCTAGGGGGAGGGGTTGCAATGCGCAGATGCACCCCCACTTTGACTCCTGAGAACCACTCGGCAGTTATGCCAAGAGAGCCTGATGTGCCCCGGACAATGGACTGGGCCGGTAAAAGGGGAGTTGGGAAGGCAGCTGCAGAGATTTAAAGGGGAAAGGGTAAGCTGCGGGAACCCCAGCAGGGCTCCTAATGTTCAGGGTACATGCTGCTCTTGGAAAAAGTCCCACCCTCTCTTCCCTGCTCCCTTGCACATGGCCAGTGCTGCTGCTGCAATGAGGGAGCAAACTACCCACTCTGAAGCCAGCAGGGTGGAGCAGCACAGAGTCCTGAGACTGCTCTTCCACGTTCATGGTCAGCTGGGCTCCACCCTCCAACCCCCTGCATCTGGGCACAGGACAGCAGCAGTGCAAGTACTGGCTTGCCTTTAAAGGCAGTACTTTAAGTTGTCCCAGGACGTTGCATCTCTTCAGCTTTCTTCACTATATTCCTGCAATGCTTGTTGCAGTCCCACACCTTATAGATCTTAGTCATGTTGTTATTTACTGTTCTTGAGGCAAGGATTTTTTGTGATACCTTTTTTTGGACCAGCTGCATAGTTGGTAGGGCTGTGCGAAGCTTTGGTCCCTGATTTAATTCGGTGGAGATTCGGCCACTGAATCAGAAGACCCTTTAATCTCTCCTAATCGTATTGGATCAGAACCCTCCGAATCGATTCAGAGATTTGGAAGGATTCTGTGAGTTGGACACAGACACAGCTTTAAATGTTTTTCCTACATGGCTCGTGAATGCTGAGATAATGGGGCAGATAGAGCGTCCCACAGGAGTCGGGGGGGCGGTCCCCAGTGTGCTCTACAGCAGACCTGGAAGTGGACCAGAGGCATGTCTGGTCCACTTTCAGGTTTGCTGGGGAGTGCACAAGGGGGCCCCCCTGCGTCCCTCCAGCTTGGTGATTGGTGCCTCCTGGGTCTGGGGGGCCACCCAGGGTCCCTCCGCGGCTGATTGCCAAGCCAGGGGGATGCGGGGGATCCCCTCACATGCTCCCAAGCAGACCTGGAAGTGGACAGGAAGTATTTCCAATCCACTTCTGGGCTTGCTGGCGAGCATGCAGGGGGCCCCACCCCGCGCTCCTGTGGGATGCTCCATCTGCCCCAGCATTGCAGCCACACCTAGTACCTCCAGGTATGTAGAAAAAGCATTTAAAGCTGTGTCTATAGCCGAATCACTGATTCTTCAAATCGGCATCGAATCTTCAGATTCAGATTTGGCCAAATCGAATTGGGGACAGTGAACTGAATCAACAAATCGAATCACTGTCCTCGATTCAGGCTGAATCCGAATTGAATATATGCTCTTGTCCAACAGCTCTCCCAACTTTACAGCTGGTCCAATCAATGAGATCGCAAAAAAATCCTTGCCAGATCCCTAAATCTTGGCTTGGTTTAACAATGGGTGAAAAGTATCTTAATGGACTGGCTGTGCTGTGGAAATAACTTAAGTGAAACATTGGATGCACTGTCAAGATGCTCAAGGTGGCTAGATTTTATTTTATGAATCTGAATATAATGTATACATTTAATTTTTATGACTTGATTATTATTTTCCTAGTTTATTGTGTTTTTATACTTAATATATAGTATAGCAAACCAATGCACATTCCAATAAAGTTCAATTTGTTTTTGCTTCAATTTTAAACTGCATAATATAACCGTGGGCCCCTATTACTAAACCTTCTAGTTTTTCTTTACCAGGAGGAAAGTGTATTATTGTCAGGAACCCTGTTATATTTCGGGGTTCACAGCATCTCATTGTTTTCTAGCATTACTGTACTGATACGGCATGTGTGGTCTTATTGGAAAACCCATGTTATGCTGTACTAATGCTATTGTATGGATTATATTATGCTGGCCATGTATATTTTTTATGGTTTGGAATATGGTTTAGCCAGGGAACTTAGGAAGTGGGCAGGCAGAACTGAAAATTATTTTTTGCCCTTGTGCTCTAGGGCCAGGCCAGTTGCCACTAACAACAGCAGACAGGAGGGGCCACTGGTAGGATTGGCACCTCTGCACACTGTCTGCCTATGATGGGGGCAGACTCTACAACACAAAAGGCATCTGGGAGTAATGGCCCTTGAGCTGAACGAGCTACAGATGTCTTAGGGTGCCTAGGAACTTTGAGATGGTTCTGGTGACTCATGGGTGATGAGAATAATGCTAATTAAGGGGCTAGCCTGGGACACTTTTTAGGGTGCAGTTATGTTAGAATATTTATTTTTGAATCTCAAGTTTTTGTGGGGGAACCCCAGTTACCAAGACTGGTAGAATCAGTAGGAAGACTTATTTCTAAAAACTCTGGCAAGGACTCTCCTGAAAGGCTAGGAGTAGCCAGATAAGAGGGTAAGAATCTGTACTTATTTTACTTTTCTGTCTCCAAACCAATGGTCTGTTTTGGGTACATAATTTTTTCATCCCATGTAATATATATTTTGCTGTTTGTCTCCTTGCTGATTGCTGGTAGAAAGAGTGATTTCTGGGTCAGTGATACTACAGGCTGACTCTGCAGAGAGGGGAATATATAATTTCTTCCATAACCCAAAAGTAGAGGTGACTTGGGGCTATGAGAGATCACTGCAAATGCAGAGTTCACTGTAAGGGCAGAAGAACTGAGGTGCTGTGATAGGAAACTCTCAATCGTTTCCTATCACAGCACCTCAGAGCAACCAGAGTCCTATCACAGCACCTCAGAGCAACCAGAATCTGTTCTCTGGGATGAGTGGCAGCACTATGGGGAGAAACTTGGGGTCCCCCATAGATGGAGGTGTGACAGTTAGAGTGTATGTAGTGATGAGTCACACCATCTTCACCCCCACTTTCAAAACCCTAGCTCTGCCCATGCTTGTCAGTTATTTCTGTTCTGACCATTAACCAGCAGCACATTTCCAGTGAACAATCCAAAACATTTATGTCCAAATTTTTTGGAGTTTTGACCTTGACAGGAGTTATGGGTGCTCTAGACCTTGGGAAAAAAAATCAGGTCATCTAACTCTTAATAAAACCTACTCTTTCCAAACAATTAGTTAGAGAAAATCTTACCAAAGCAGACGTGTAAACTTACACGTGCTAAAGGATTCATATCCTTGTATAATGACACTTCTGTCAACCACTCCCTCTTCCTTTCTCCCTCTTTTCTGATTTGTTGTGTGAAGGATTTTGCAATGAAGCAGTGCTGATGTGATTGTTTACTTTATTCACTGCACAGCAATGCATCTAGTGTATAAAAAACTTTTTCTTTGCAGATAGTTAAGCTTGCTAAATATCAAGAGACAATTTCAAGAGATAAATTCACAATTTATATGTTTGTAGGGACCTACCAAATTCACAGCAGAAGTGGACTGCGTGGTAGCTCTTTTAATTTTGCAGGTTCCCCTGCATGCTCTCCTCCCTCCTCCCTTCTCATTCCTGATCGACAGGGAGGCAAAAACCATGATTTTAAATACAACACTGTTTTGCCTCCTGCCCAGCCAAGCGGCAAGCAGCAGGGTCACTAGAGCCACAAAACCAATCAGTAACTGGGAGGAGGGTGCATGGGAGAACCTGCAAGATTAAAGGAGCTGTTGTGCAGCCTACTTCTTCCATGAATTCAGTAGGTCCCTATACATTTTTAACTGCTGCCTGCAATAGGATCTCACAGTGTGTAAAAATCAATGCCAAATCTGGCCGAGAAGGTCATCTCGTCTGCCTCTGACCTGAAGAGGCAATATTACCCCAGAGGCTGATGTAGACCAGAGGCATCTATAAACTAGAACTAGAACTGGTAGCCCACTGGAATGACAGGGCGTGAACCCATGCCATTGCCAATTCAGAACAAATTTCTATCTTACATGCATAGGAAAAAAAAAACACTGGCAAAAGTGGACCCTGAGCAAGAACTTGTGGAGCTTCCAAACCTTTAACTGTTCTACCCTATAGAGGGTATTAATATAGTCTAAAGTAAACCAGCTTATTTGCTTACCTTGTAACCTAGAGTTGGCTTCATCTGGAGCTGTATGTGACAAAGTAGCATCCTCCTCCTCGTTATTACCGCAGAGTCGGGAGTCATCCCTGCCTGAGATCTCCTTTTTCCCACCATGCTTCACATTCTGCTTGTCATTGTGCTTATTGCAGCTTTCCCTGTCTTGTTCATGTCCATCACTTGAAAGCCCTGAAAATAGACATGAATAGCATTAACCCTTTTGTGCAAAGGACAATCAATGCTCTGCTGGCAAGATACAGAGCTCAAAGAACTCACTAGAAAGTCATCTGCTGACTTCATTATATCAGGCCCCTTAACATTAAATGCTAGCAAGACAAAATCTGGAGCTCACTGTGCAAGAAGAAAAGTACAGAAATGTAACTACTACTGAAGTGTTTAGGATGTTCTCTTTACCAGCTTCTCAACTGAAGGATCAAGTTAAAAATATCAGTAGAGAACAGCAACTGTAGGCATGAACTTTGATTTCACATACAGTGATATAAAGGCTGGAGTGATGGGGAGCCAATGGAGTTATTCCAGATTGACTTGGGTGCATTTGACAGCTGGTCCTGTAGGCAGTTTTCTCAGTGCTTTGGATTTGAAGTGATTCCTCTTTGTTTAGAGTACAAGCATTAAAAACATCCATTCTGTTAATTTTTCAAGTGGTCACAGGTTTCCCCTTCCCTCCCTTGGACCAGAGGATGTGCCTCTCTCCTACCCAGCTGCAAAATGTTGTGCACTCCATGGAAGGATTTGCCAGGTCAGGGCATTCCCAAGGACAAAAGGGCTGCTCTCAGGTTGCTTTCCCTCGAGAGCAGCTTACAGGAAACAGGAGGACAAGGGCAGTGAGCCTCCTGTATTCTTTAAAGGAGTGTGGGAGGGGAAAATGCTTTTATAGTTGAAAACCTGGCCTCCAGTGGGCAATAATGCCAACAGTCACAGTCCACCAGTCAATTTTTAATCCCTGGGAAGACTATTTTCCTATCTTAATAACCTTATCCAGTCACTAACACATACAGTTCCCCATTCAAAGGTCAGCATTTGCCATCCAATTACTCCTACTCTAAGGACAAAGGAAACTGCAATATCTAAGAAAGTACTGAGGGATTTTGTTGGCTAATACTGAGCTTTTAGTGGTTAAATGCTGAGACGTGTGTGCATACATACACACGCAGCATTTGGTACTATTTGAGCCCAGCTTAGAAAGATGCAGAGTAAATTAATCTGTTTGGAAGTCTGTGTTGCTAGGGCTTCATAACTTTTGGTACCTAAACTGCCCCTTTTAGAGTTAGTGTGGGTATCTCTATACTATACTGCACACCGCAGTGTAGACCCCCCCACCCCAGTCTCATCTAACTTCAACAGCCACTAACAGCAATCACTCCCTGGAATACAGATGGTTAACTCAAGAGTACTATTGCAACAACGCTATTTTTTATTGTTACCATGTTTCATTCCAGTATTCGATTTTGTTGTACCAGGGTGGAAATGCATTCCTCCGAAAGCAGTATACCCATATGAAGGGTAACCAAACCCTAAAAACAACATAAAAGGGGAAAAAAAATTCACTAAAATTATCCTCCAAAGCAAAACAGACACTATATGGGAATCATGTACTCAACCTGCAAGGTACCATCTGAGGTACAGTTCTCGCTATTTTCTTCTTTGGCTTTTCCATCCTACAAAAACAAGATATTCTTGAATAGATGCAAGTTCTCCATCCCTCCACCCTGGCAACTGGAGGAGATTCTACATGCCTGAGTAGTGACATCCTCTATTCCAGCATTTTCCAGGACCTTGAAAGCTAGTTTGCCACATCTAAACCTCATAAACCAGGTTTGGTGTGCTGCTACCATATTTTTAATCAGTGGAGTTACAATGGATTCGTATTCAAATACCATGTGGTAAACTGACCTAGGAAACAGTGTTTGACAACTGCTGCTCTGCACCTTCTGTACTAGGGACACTATACTGACATTATTCTAATTGTGCTTGCTCTTATAGCCGGGTCTTAAAAAGCTCCAAGGATGGAGATTCCACAACCTCTCTGGGTAGCTTGTTCCAGTGCTTTATTACCCTTCTAGTGAGAAAGTTTTTCCTAATATCTAACTTAAACTTTCCTTGCTCAACTTGAGGACATTTCTCCTTGTTTTGTAATCTGCCACCACTGAGAACAGTTCAGCTCCATCTTCTTTGGAACCACCCTTCTGGTAGTTGAAGGCTGCTATTAAATCCCCCTTCAGTCTTCTCTTCTCCAGAATAAATAAGTCCAGTTCCCTCAGCCTCTCCTCAGAAGTCATGTACCCCAGCCCCCTAACCATTTTCGTTGCCTTTCACTGGACTTTTTCCAATTTGTCTACATCCTTTCTATAGTAAGGAGCCCAAAACTGGACACAGTACTCCAGATGTGGCCTCACCAATGCTAAATAGAGGGGAATAATCACTTCCCTTGATCTGATAGCAACACTCCTACCAATGCAGCCCAGACTGTCATTAGCCTTCTTTGCAACAAGGGCACACTGTTGGATCATTCATCTTATTGTCCACTGTAACCCCCAGGGCCTTTTTTGCAGAGCTGCTGCTTAGCCAGTTGGTCCCCAGCTTGTACCGGTACATGGGACTGTTCCATCCTAGATGCAGGGCTTCGCACTTATCCCAATTGAAATTTATGAGATTTCTTTTGGTCCAATCCTCCAATTTATCAAGGTCTCTCTGAATCCTAGCTCTACGCTCTAGCATATCTACTACTCCCCCCAGCTTGGTATCACTGACAAACTTGCTGAGGGTGCACTCCATCCCATCTTCCAGGTCACTGATGAAAATATTTAACAAAACTGGCCCCAAGACCAACCCCTGGGGCATTCCACTTGATACTGGCTGCCAGCTAGACATTGAGCCATTGACTACAACCCTCTGAGCCCAATGATCCAGCCAGTTTATCACATCCACTGCACTCCCCTCATCTACAGAGCTAGTCATCTCATCACAGAAGGCAATCAGGTTGGTTAGGCATGACAGCAGATGAGAAATCAAGTAATTTTAGTCTCTTGCTATTCAGGCCAGCAGGAACAATAGCACTGGAGAGACTAATTCAAGCCCACTCCTGAAAAAAATATCTGCCCATACTTTATTTCTCAGAGTGACACTGATAGGCTATGAAGGACTTTTATCCAGTCCTTCTCAGCAAGAAGAATAACATCTGTGACATATAACCACAAGGAAACAACTATGAGGGGATTATTTGACTGCCAATATGAAACCAGGAATTATAGGAGATATTCTAGTCTGACCTGTCTTTTCATATCAGTGAAAACCAGGAGTTACTCAATTATGGCAATGAGTTACACTGGTACAAAGTAAGTATGACAGAGAAGAATCAGGCTTCATAGATCTATTGATATGTGGGATATTTCCCAAGTTTACTTTATTGTAATGAACCCTTGGAAACCCCCCTCCCCCCCGTGAGTATTAAAGGAAACTCACGTCAGTTCTCTTTTTATCTTTACCTGAGCCAGCACCACCTCCTCCACCGCCATACATTCCACCCCCGCCACCTCCTGCACCACTGCCTCCACCATAGCTGTCAGAAAAGTTAGGCATCAGCTTCTGTCGCTTCCTCTGCACTTCTTCTTTGTCTGTGTTTTAAGGAAGAGAATGAAAGAAAAACAAAGAGATGACTCAATTCTCTCTCAATGACCAGCTGGAGACAGAAGAGAGCATTGGTACTGAACTGAACGTGTTACTAAAAACCATTAGCTTGATTTGAAGTGATACAGGAACATTGAAACTTTACCAGCTCCAACACAGTAAGACTTTTATGTACAGTAGGCAGTGGTGAAACATTCTAGTGAGTAAACAACAAACCAAGCAAAATTCTCAGACAGACTGTAGGACCAGCACCACTCGGGTTTTCATTCCACCCCTCATATTGTATCAGGTGCATCTATGCTTAAACAGGGGAGACTGGATGAGGATGTGGCACAGATTGGGTAACATTTTCAAAAATATCTGTGCGCCAGTTTCAAAAGTGACATGGATACTTTAAGAGCCTAAATCTTGATGAAAATCAATGGGTTTTTGCTTCCTAAATGCCCAAGTTGCTTCTGAAAATCACACACAAACATTTTTGAAAAGGTTATCATTGGGAACCAAAAGCACAATTTTTGTTGACAGACAAATGCATTTTAGAAATGGCCACATGATTTATAAGTGTCAAACTATTGAACGCTTTGATTTTCAGACATGCTAAGTACTTGGGCCTTCCACTTCTCTCATTTAGGGTCGTGTTGCTAATTCAGCAATTTTTACATTAGGACCTAACTAAAACAACACAGAAGGCCAGCAGAATAAACCTGAGTTTAAAGTTGGACATAAAAATAGCAAACTCTGCTCAGTAGCTGAAGGCAAAACATGCCTTAAATATTTTATATTTTAAACAAAAGTCTTTAGCTCCATCAAAAACCACCTTATCAACTAATCAAAAAACTTCCCGTATCATAAAATGAAACATACGTAAGACAAAACTCATGAAAAGAGGTGGCACTGAATAGTGACAAACATTCTAGCAAAGAGGAAGTCCAGACACTGTGTTGAGAAAAGAAAATATCCCCTAGTAAAAAACAGAATCACCCCCAAGAGGCATGTGACAAATATGATAAGGACATTACATGCATAGCCACATCAGTCTAAGCACCAAACCCAACTGGTGACCATATCGGACAGCATATGGAATGGTCTACATACGAATGCACAATTTGCAAACATACACAGTTTATAGATATATGTGTATGTGCACAAAATGTACTTGCATCCAGGAAGAGAGAAGACCCCACAGAGTATCTAGCCCAGGAAACAGACATTTGTAAGCTTACTCAAACATTTTCAACAGGGAAATAGCCCTGCCCCTGAATGCCAGTCTGTACAATAAGTTGGGCATGCATTGGGATATAAAACCCATTTGAAAGTCAGAAAAGTACCCAATGCCTAGTACAGTGGGGCTCAGATTTGAGGTACTACCCTACTATTATTAAATATGAACACTAACCACAATCTCATATTTCAATCAAACTAATTTGCAGCATGAAAGTCTTTAAAATATATTCATCCACTGCTGAAGTTTCCTGAAACTAATTACTTTACCCAATTACTTACATTATTTTTACACAAAAATAATCAATAATACCATCTCTCTTTTTGCAAAAAGCGTTCCCAGGTTATTTATTGAACACAAGGGGTCAGAACATTCCTCAAATTTCAGTGAAATGGTGGTGGTGGGGAAATGCAAAACACCAGCACTAGTCAGCCCCTTGTATCTACATTTCATTTGAACCAAAATGCCCTTGCAGGGTTTCAGTAATAACTCCAAGAAAGAGTGCCATCCACTGTATTGCTACTATAAGGGACACCACTTGGCAGTAACATTTCGTAGAGAAATATTCATGCATTTACTGCACAGTAACCCAATATAAAATAGCTAACTGAACCCACTTGACTGTGATTAGTTTTCTGCTCAACATGAGTAGTCAGGTGCCTTGAAGGTGATAAAGAAATTTTCTGAAGGTGATAATAAAGAAACAAGAAAGTTGATCAACATGTGCCCTATCTTTCTCACAAATACTCAACAACTCTGATATTTCCCCATGAACAAATGAAAACAGATTGAATTACCTTTGACTTCTGGATAGTACAGAAAAGGCTTTGGTTCACTTGTTTCCAGATCAGATTTCCGCCGCAGTTGAACAAATACAGATGCTGGTTTTGTGATATTGACATCTCTGTACTTGGGGGTTTTGAACACAATAGCAAACTGTGAACAACATGGATCAGCAGATTTGTCAGGGACACTGTTTTTTGCAATAAGGTACTGCTTTACATCTTAAGGTTTTTAACTTTGTGGGAGTTTGGAGGAAAATCATTTCTGTATGATGTGACAGAGGGGTAAACAAGAAGGTTCTGCACTCTGGATGGCAGTGGCATTGGTGGCTGGATTGGTGCTGGACCAGAAGCAGCAGCAGCTCCATTCTTGCAACCCCTCTATGCCGGTGCCCATTGTTCATGCCCTAGTTTTCCACCCATAGTTACACTACTGGTCTGTCAAAAATATAAACCGCTGTTTTAGTTGTTATTTCTACTTTGAAATTCATTAAAAATTTGAATGTCCATTTTAAAAGGCTGAGTTGCCTTGAGAGATACTAAAGCATCATACTTGGCTATTAGGTATTCCTCTGTTATTTTTTCCGCCCAGAACAGATTTCTCAGCGTCCCTGAAACAGTTAACTCATTTTTGCCATGGAAGTTCTTTGCCTTATTATATATCCCTTTATTATTTAAGGACCACATTTTACAGATATCTTTTAATTAAGATTTTAACATTTTTCATCTGCATCTATCATTTATCTTTAAATAAGGCAGAAGAATTAACAAAAGAAGTTAATGACAGGAAAAATTAGTTCGGGGAATTAACCTCAATAGTTCCAATCTAGTTTTAGTTGCTAGAGAACTAAAAGAAGGCAGGGCGGATTTGTACCTTACAAACTAACTAAATTAGAGCTGGAGAAGCTTTTATGAACATTGGCTTGCTTCATCATAGCATCTGAGAAAGTAAGCAGAGGCTTACAAAAGCTTATGTGTCTCTGATTTTAGTCTGTTAGGTGTAAATCTACCCAGCCTTCTGTGTGAATTCAGGCAAACACAACTAACACTCTACAGAAGTGAAAGTCATCCACAAGTGATAGCTCGTTCGTCACTTACCTGTCTATGTACATCTGTAGGAGAAAAATCTCCAAAACCTTCCCACATTCCACCATTTTCATCCTCCTCATAAAAACGAATTTGAATGTCATCTATAATGATTAGGAGAGAGTTAATGGATGAAGAAATGAATGAACAAATTATGGGTTTTAGGCTAGTTTTATTTCTAAAACAAAAATAATATGATGCATGGCAGTTCTAACAGCTCATTTCAGGAGATTTTACTTTTTTCTTAGCATTAAAGTATACTGCATATGCAAAGCGAAGATTAAATATTTCAGGGTAATGGAAAATAATTCTTTCTAATGCTGAATTTCACCCAGCATTTCTTTCATGTGGTAACTTGCCGCATTAAGAATAGATTCATCATCTTTATATACCATATTTACTCAAATACGGGATAAGGTTTCTTTCACTCAACCAGCATGGGGGGGAACCCCTCATCTTACATTCACATACAAGGAAATCTCTTTAAATATATTGTCTATCATTAACCTGCTGCCAAAAGCAGCACATGCTCAGTAATGGAAGCCAGCTATGAAGTTGACTATTCACAGCCAACACTGAGCATTACTATAGAATACATGGCCCATAGTGGACAAACGTACTGATAGGAACCTTTTCTGTGGCCCTTATAAAATGGGTGGGTATTCCCTCTGTGACAAAGATGGCACTGGGCCTGGAGGTACTGTAATACCAGTCCGGCACCGGGAGGGCCAGAGCCAGTCTTGACACTGTCCCTTTAGTATTAAAAATGCACTACATTTGATCTTAACCAAAAAGGCAAAGATGCTGATAGGAACCTACCACAAAGATAGGTCAACCTATCTAAATAAGATATATGGCAATAGTCACTGAGCAGTTTTCTTTAGCACCAACTCTTTTCCAAGTCATGGCAAGCCACTATATTGTATACATTTCTACATCCTCTTCACTCCCACAGCTGAGCAGTGCCTTTTCTTTCCCATTTCCAATTACTCCTATTTCCTCACCAGCCTTAAATGTCTGGCAAACATCACCAAATGGGGCTTCAAACACTTCACCCAGAATCCCTCTGTTGACCCCTATCTCAGCTTATCGCAAACTATTAGTGTTGCCCCACTCTCCAGATGAGGCAGAGCCAGACCAGTTGCCCTGCACCTCATCTACATATATATATATATATATATATATATTTGGAGGACCCCAGGACTTGTGACAAGAACACCCCATTCCAGTCATGAATAGGGGGCTAATTAGCACATGGATCCTTTGTGTGGGGGTATCTGCAGTAAACACACATACTAAGCAGAGCTGAGCTGCGGGTCACCATGGCCTGAAATGCTGTTGACTCTGCTGGGGTCCATCCCAAAGAACTATACAACAAGTCATGAACCTTTTGGCTTTGGACTAATACCATGCATAGTTTGTAGGTACAAAACTGCTGCTTAAAAGCATGTGTATGGAGTACCTGTGTTAAAAGTTGCAGCAGTTTCAAAAAAGGTAAAATGCATCAATTCTGGATGAACTAAGTCTGTGGGTACTATACACAAATTGTTACAGGTATGTTTATTTCAAAGTCAATATTTTCAAATTTACTCCTCACTTCCATGTGTTGAGGAAGAGCAGGGTCCGACTGTAAGGAAGGGGAGAAAGGTCTGCAGAAGGAAAAATCTGGGTGGAGGCAAAGTACAAGGGAAGGTTTATTTTCCCTGCTGTAGTAGTGGGAAGAGAATAAATTCAAGGCAAACCTCCCATAATTAGACTCAATACCTGGAAAATTATAACAAATTTGTAAGTTTCCCATATATAGAATCTAATTATTGGGAGGGTTGTTTTATAGTCAAGGTTGTCTTATATTGGAGTAAATACGGTAGACCGTATTAAAGTATTACATGAGGTCTAATGCTGATTTCACTGACACCAGTTTTACATCAGCATAATTCTAGTGACTAAACTGGCGTTAATGTTTATTTACACAGAGTTAAGAGGAAAATTAAACCCTAAGGTTAAAAGGAGTTTCTATAGCAACTTTATATAGAATAACTGCAGGGAAGAAAGACATGACGGCATCAAAGACAAAATTCCCTTTTCTAATAGTCTAAATTCAGAAAACTGAATCAAAACCTGAACTGTTCAAGTTTTGGCAAAAAAAAGTAACTTCTGCACGAGAGCTAAGCATGACAGCAACAGTCCTGAGCTAAGACACTCCAGCAACGCACTTCGTTTCCATGTCATAAAGTAGTAGGAGAGAAAAAGAAGTTCCATCTCTACACAAACTTCTTTGAGGAGAAGTGGAAATAGGGTGCCCTGGATACTCTTTCTTTGGTTTTCTTGATGTGGGAGGGGGAAGAGGCCGAATAGGGAGATTGAGGAAGGAGGGAGGTTAGGCTGACCAAAAAAAAAAAAATCAAATTTTCTAAGCGCTTGATGGGAAGGGTCATTGGAGCTTCCTCCTAACCCTGACTCGGTCAGCAGCAAGACTGAGAATGACTACTTCCCTCCCTGTTGCCCTGTGCATTGACATTCTTAGAGCACAGAGATTTCAGAGGCAACAGGACTGGGGAAATCCCACACAGGCTAAGGGGAAACCCCACTTTGGGGCTTCCATTTAGTCATACTTTTTTTTTTTTTTTTTTTTTTTTAAAGAAATCTTATGTTTTTACTTGATCCTCTTAAAAGCAGAAGGGTTTACAGTACAGAGGGGAGGGAAAAAAACATTTCTCAAAATTCCATCAGTTTGCTCCCTAGATAACAGATGCCTATCCTTACCATAGTTTGGAATAACAGAAATGCTTGAATCATCCTAACATCATGGAAGGGAGTTGACTCTTTAGTCAGGTGGAAAACTAAGCACATTACCACAGATCTAAATTGGAGCCCAGTTGTTTCAAACTATTGCTTGAAATATTCAAATCTCCAAATTTTTATGTTTAATTCCATTCATGTAAGCTGGAAACCAGAATTGTGTAAACAACCAATAGCTAATATCGTTACATTTGTGCATCTAAAATGAGGTGTTCAAGCCAACATTTAGTTTATGATCCTGGAAATACAGAATACCAGGAGTAGTGTTTGCTGCTCTGAGTCAGTGGGATGTCTCAAACTGCACAAGCACTGTAATTCTTTGTGTTCAGCTCCTCTGACATCTACATCTATAAGATGCAGTTTTCAGCAGAGCTGGGCAGGTGCGGCTCACACTAGTCACTGTAGCTATTGGGGGCCACAGGGGTGGGGACAGTGAGTCCAGAACTACATAAACCTGATGTTTCACCAAATCCATGAGCAGCTTAGGGGCTAGAATACAAAGTTTAAAGGGACTGAGGTGGTACCCTAACCCCTGCCTGCTGCTTTGAGAAGAAGACCCACAAACCTTCTCAAACCCCAACATAAATCCATTTACTTTGGAGTGGGAAGTCTTTTCACCCATTAATCCTAACAACTGCTAACCTGATTTTCAGAAATGCTGAGAACTTGCTAATTGGGCTGAAGTCAGTGGGAACTGTGGTAGCTCAGCCCCACTGCACATTAGTCCATCACTGCAAGTGTTATGCACTGGTTACATGAAAAAGGCATCAATAACTTTAACCAAATGGGTTGACTTGAAACACTGGACAGTTTGGAACCTTTACCTTTTTGAACCTTATCACAGAGAAGGTAAATCTCTTCTCCTCCTGTCACACATCCTGCTGTTCTGTCCATTCTTACAATCTTTAAATTGGATGCATTGGGGGCTTCTGTTGAAAGGGATGAGTTAAAACAAGAAAATATCATTTTCTCTGATCACAACTCTAGGCTAAAGAGAAAGCACAGAATATGATAAAAGCTAAGCCACAAAGAAGATCCACACGACAGTCTGAATTTCTGTTTTAATGAAAGAGAAGAATAAACCCATTACTTGGAAAAGGTCTGATCTCATAATTCCTTACAAAGGAGGCTGACTTGCTTGAGAATTTTGCCTGACTACAATAGAACTTCACTCACTGCAGTGTTACTACAGTGTTACCACTGTAGCAGTAAAGTAATGTAGAGGTGAATCAAAATCTCAAACCATACACTGGCTGAAAGACAGGTGAGAATGGATAATGTTTTTTTCTATTTTTCTCCTGGCATGTGCTAATGCAACACCAAAGAAAAGTTGCTCTCTCTTTGTTCTTAAATCTCTTGGGGAGGAGGGGTCTGCTCTACAGTCTACATGAAAAGAATTTTTAATCTCTGTCCAGCTTGGGGGTTCTGGCCACAAAGCCCACTTGTGACATGGACACATTACTTTTAGCAGAGGCCAAGGGTTGCATGCACCATGGGAACAGCACTACCATCTCACCATAAAAAAGCACTGTACCTCTAGGTCATGTATGAGATAGACTGCTAGGGCAGTGTGGCAGATGCTTTCTCTGCCACTAGCTGTACTTGGTCTGTGGAGGATGACTTCAGGGGCACCACTCAAAAGGACTAACTTTACTTTAAAACACATTAAAAGAATGAATATAACCCAGTTCTTTTGAAATCAACAAAAAAATACCCCAAACATTCATTTGATGGGCTCAGATTATCAAATGACTGTCATCAGTATAAAACCTTTAATAGCAAGAGAAGGAGGTGCATTTCCTCTTCTACCCTCCACGCAAACAGAAGGTAGACTTTGATGCTCAGACTTGAAAAAAGCATAGGATAACATCAGCTTCCTTTTAGTGTGGCTTAGTGCATGCTGTAGCTAGTTCAACTTGTGCTCTACCTTCCCCTCAGCATTTTGCTTTATACTGGCATGTTTATTACAGTAATGAAATCAAACTGAAACTGTAGCAGTTGCTGAAGAAAATCAACAACACTCCTTAAATATACTGTTCTGTACTTCAATTCAGACTCCAGATTAGAAGTCTGACTTTTCCAGATCCTGAAAGTAATACATATAACATACTTGTATATGGTCTTTCCAAATTATTGCCGAATCCATAGCAGTAGGTAGGAGTATTGAAAAATTAGAGACACTTCAGAAGTGGTAAAAGTTTTTACATGGAGATACTGAAAATATTTGGATTAATTAATTAATCAGAACCATATTCTGTTCTCACTTCCACTGATATAATTAGGAGTTATTTTACCAACTTCCATGGAGTTACTTCAAGTGTACACTAATGAGATCAGACTTTGATAGAATTTAGCTATTAAAAAAAAATTGCATATAACCTTTGTTGTTTTTTGCACAACACTGGTACCTGTGTCTCAGTATCTGTTGTTAGCATATACCCTGGTGTTTTTGTTTTGGGATTCTACTTCAAGACTCAGGGTTTGTTTGTTAACCAGATAATGCAGAAAGGCTTCTAGTCGAGCACATCAATTTTTGCTACTGACTACTCTCTTTGGAGTAGGGACACTAGACAGACCCTAGATCTGACCCAGTAAAGTCATTCCTATATTCTGTACTCCAAAGAGGGAGGAGGTGGGACTTGTGCTTACAAAAATTTTTTTTAAAAGTCAATCCTTTTGTACTCACTGCTGTCATATATGGGATCTGATATGACAGGATCAAGTCTTCTTGTGAAGCAGCCATTGCTGTCAGGGAGGAAGGCTGTGAACATAAGGCGCACTACGCTGAGATCCATCTCTTTTGTCTGCTGAAATGCTGCCTGGCGAATGATTTCTTTTTCCCGATCTGGAACCAGTCAATGGCACAGATAAATTGATACAAAAATAATCCTACTTCCAAAAAGTATTGACAAATCTCACCAAAAACGGCTTTGATTTAGTTATTACCATCTTAACCAGCAGCTTCAAGTCTTTGTTTTCATTAAGAAATTTGAGGAGGGGCAAGTCATAGGATGCTGCACTTACTGTAACATATAAAATAACTTCCCTATCTATCTGCTTTTATTTACCTACTCAAAATTGTGCCAGGTACTTCACAGACCTAAAAATGGTACAATCCCAGTCTTCTGGAGTTTAAAATAGGCAGGAGTAAGACAGAAAAGGGCAAGGTTCACCCATATAAGATAGAGCAGTTGTTTAACCAAGAATTACACTGAGAAGCCAACCCTACAGACATGTCTGCACTACCTCCATGAAGAGCCCAGGAACATAGCTGAGAAGTTCATTCCACACTTGCTCCGGCTCAGCAAGCATCAAAATCCAGAAACCTGGTTGTATATCTAGCATAAAGCTGCCCCTAGCACTTGCCAGGAAGCATACCTAAGAGTGGCTCTGGGCACATGCAGCCCAGGCCTTCCATAGAGAGAATATCAACAAGCAAGAGGTACTTGCCAACTATTGGCCTGTGCTGTAGAGCAGCAGTTGTCAACAGGGGGTACGCGTACCCCTAGGGGTACTTAAAAAGGTCATACAGGGTACAGGGGGGCTTCCGCCATTGTATGGACCCCAGTGGAGGCCCTGGGGGGATGTGCCCCCCTGATCTGTGCATGGGCTTTGCGCGCCACTGCAACTGTCCCAGGAGTGGTGTGATGTCACGTGCCTGCCGCCACTGAGCTCAGCTGTGCTGTGCCCCCTACCCGCCCAGCGAAGGGATGCACATGGTATCACACCACTACTGGGCAACTGCAGCAGCACACAAAATCCAGCGTGCAGCGGCAGCCACCTCCACCCCATGCACAGACGAGGGGGACACATGCCCCCTGGGCCTCCACCGGGGTGCGCACAGCGGTGGGACACCCCCCCGCCCCGCCCCTGGATGAGCCACCTGGTTTCTGATTGTCCCATGACCTAACTTGGCCAGGGCTCCATTCACCCCAGCCCCTGCCCCTGTCTGTGCCCCACTCCCTCCCCCACCACAGGGCCCTCGATCTGCACCCGCATGGCCCTTTCCTCTCCCCCACTTACTTACCTGCTGGGTGGATGGGGGGGCTGTATGTGCGCATGTGTGCACTCAGGCCCCCCAAATAATGTTAATATAAAGGGATACATGAGCTGAAACTCTGAGACAGAAGGGGTACACTTGTTAAAGAAGGCTGAAAACCCTTGCCATAGAGAGTGGAATTGGCCCTTCTGTCCTTCATTAACTCTATGCTACTGCTCCAAAGAAGGCCGATTCTAGACTGCAAGGATGTGCATAAACTGGGGAGGAAATGCATGATGGGGGATATGCTTTTTTCAGAGCTCTCTATAACCATCAATAAATTCTGATGATTCACAATAACAATACAACATGATTCAAACTATCAGCCTATTAAGCAACATTATGGTTGGCAGTAATGGTGGCAATGCTGTCAGACAGTTTGTTTTTAACTCCATGTTGGCACCAGAACAACTCTTAAAAGCATGCAAGCCTCTCAAAACAGATGTTTCTGCCTAGGCCTTATCCTGGCTGGGAATCAATCCTCTCAGGGCTAAAACCAGTTTTCAGCAGGTGTGCCATACAAGCCAAAGATACTTTCTCACTTACCTGATAATTGTCTTTCTCCACATCCTTCTACTTGGAGATAATTAAGTTCAGAATGCACCAAGAGTCCGGGATTATATCCTTTTTTACAGGCATCTATCATGCGTGTTTCTAGAGTTTCAAATACTTTCTTCTTGGTGACGTGAAGTATTCCAAGGTTTGCAAACCTAGAAAAATACGATCATGAGAAACATTTTGTTCCTTATGCACAAGCTGCAGTATGCAGTTTCTCTTTGTTACCATAAGAGCTTAGAACCTGATTTTAAACCACTAAAGTTAGTGGAAAAACTCCAAGGTCATTAGACTACTGAGGCAGTATTGCTTTCTCAAAAGCAAATTTTCAAATGCGGGTGCTTCAGTAGCTTTTTCAAACCTGATGACTTCACACTGAACTACACATCTGCATAAGCAGTAACTTGTTTTGTACATATGCTTATGGTGTGGATGCAACTTAGGAAATCTTTGAAATGTTGATACTCATTACATGCTCCAACTTGATTTTGGCAATGACAAAAAATGAGCAAACTCAGGAATTTGGGATTTTGAGAGCGAACTAAAACCAGTACAATGCTGTCTAAAGGACAAGAACTTTTTTATTATGATGCTTATTAGGCACTGAGCAGGGTAGATATGCACCTTATAGACTAACTAAATAAGATATATAAATAGATCATAAGGTTTTGTGAACTCAAGCTCACTTCACCAAAGGACAAGCATACAGTAGTTTATAAAGTGAAGTGAGTGATTTGAATACACAAGATGGGAAGAAATGAGGGAAGGGAAAGGGAGAGGGGGGTCGTATTAGGAGAGGCATACAAGCAAAAAAACCATAGGAACAAATGAGTCACAAAAGTTACTCCAGGTAATGGAATAAGAATCCACAGTCCCTGTTTAAACCATACATAACACAGTCTGTGGATGATTTCTTGTTCCACAATTTCCTGTTCTAACTTTTAAAAAAATTTGCTGTCTGAGAACATCAATTCTGAGACTAGCAATGGGATGTCCAAGGAGGTTAAAATGTTCTGCACCCCCGCTTAGCACTCTCAATTGATTCCTGAAAAACCAAGCATTAAGCAAATCTGAAAATATTTGACAACCCAAGATGGCGACTGCAATTGTTTTTAATGACCCAAGGTGGCAACCAAGAGCATTATAATGAAACTCACTGAGCGCTAAGTGAAATCAGGTATCAATTTCAAATGAGCGTTATAGTGAAATAGCGCTAAGTTAAACAGTGTTAAACAGGGGTTGCCCGTACTAGGTTCTGGCCATTCACACACACTGCAAGTAGAGGAAAATTTGAGTGGAAAATTAAAAAATAAGACCTATATTGAAAAAAAGCTGCTGATACATTCAAAATCACTAGTTACATCTAGAAGCATGACCATGGAGTCAATAATCCAGTTTTCATATGGACAAGAATGATGATGCTAATTATCTCATGGAAAGTCAGACAGGTTAGAGCAGGGAAATAAAAGCCCTTTTCAAGATGAAAAAGAGTATCCAAACAAAGTTATTTAAATTGCCATAATTAAAGTTAGGTTAGCCTACTGGGCTTTAAACATCAAAAAGGTACAGACTTCAGACACTTGAAAGTTTTTCTCCCTCTCTCCAATTTTTGAAAACTTCCATCTTCACCAAAGACATGCCATAGACCATGAAACTTACAGCAGTCAGCCTGAAACCTGATCTAAGCCTGAAAATACAAATTTATAAGCCTGAGTACTTTAAACGAATACAAAAAGATACTGTTTTAAGTGAACAAGAACAGACTAATCATGACTTTGGTACAGTCTTTATTGCTTTAACTGTACACAGCTTTTAGTAATTTAATGACTGCATGTTTATACCTCTTAAATTTCCTATTTAATTTTAATTTCTTACTTAATCATGTATGTTTTCTTAACACCTATTGAAGGTGACTTGCAAATTTAAAAGAAATGCAGTATGGATAAGAATTTAAAATATCCAGATTTTCTCTCATAATTCTGCCTCATAATTCTTCTCTCATTTCCTAAGCAACATACTTACATTTTTTAAACATTTTAAAAACATATTGGATAATACAGGAAAAGTGACTTAAGCTCACCAAATTCCTATTAATGATTATCTGCCTAATTTTCTAGATTATAATAATTTCAAGATACATCTCTGCTTCTGACACTCCAATGCTTATCTGCTGGGTTAAACAGACCATATTTACTCCTGTATTTTAGGCTAAGAAAGAGAACAGAGCAGAAAATGAAGGACTAATATATTTTTATCCTCATGAATAACTATTTTTTTATATTTGATTCTCTGTCCACCACAAATGTTTGCCACAGACATGTCAATATACTTACCCTACCACCATATCCTTTGGTCCTGCATTAACTGTGCATACTCCATCTTCACAGTATTTACCCACCAGACTGTGTGCATGCAAGTGGACAGACTTCCCACTGGTGACTAACTGAACGATTACTTTTGCAGGCCCAACATAATTGCAGATCTGCGAACAAGTGCAACCAGTATTTAAAAAAACTGAACAGATTCTGGTTTCATCCAGATATTTTATAACACCACTAAATCTGAGCATAGAAATTCACATATAAGAAATTAATATTTATTTCTTCCAGAAACATGCATAAGATGGTTTGATATGATAAAATCATTTAATCACACAGAAGTCTTCTAATTTATTTTTTTAATTAAAAGCGAAAAACAACACAAATGACAGGATTAAACATAATTCATAAGAAAATAAAAATGTTGAAGTACCGACTTCTTTTTTAACATGAAGGTAAATGTTTTACCTAGATCTTTTATACCAGATTAGTTTAGAGATTAAATTCCCTTCAATATATTTTACTGACAATAGGTGGTAATGCACGTTAAGAAGATTAAAGAAAATGGTATATGTTTGAAATGAAAAACAATGTTTCGCCCAGTGTGTAAGTGGTCAAGAAAATTAACAACATTATGAAGACTACTACATTGCTTTAAAATATTGTTATGTTCTCATTACAATAACCCTCTCTGGCAGAAGTTTTACAGTGAGACATCTGAAATGAAATTAATTCTATATTAATTTAAAACACTGCATTCCCACATGGCACCTGGAAGCATTGAATACACGTTTAATATTATTTGTGTGGACAGGCCCCTTGTGGTCTCACTGAATTATACAGGAGAATACAGTTAAATCTGTGCCTAAGCCTATACTACACATGGTCAAGGCTATGACAAACTATAAGCCTGGGTACCACTATTGTAGAATCAGATGTGCAGGGGTTGGTCCACAGATCAAATCCAGCACGCAAAGCCATGTCTTCTAGCTCACAGGGCTCCCCACAGATTCAGAAATTTGGCAGCAGGACGAGCAGCAGCATTTTTAACAAACTGGAGCAATTCATGCTGCCCCTGCTATGACATTTCCAGACCTGTAGGAAGCCCTGTGGGCCAGACAATACAGCTCCACAGGCCTGATCTTGGTAATCTCTGGTGTAGAACTGTTTCCACCACAGTTTCTTGTAATATCTACCCTTCTGACACAGATTTGTAAGTGGTAGCTATAAAAGAGTGGTATTATGTATTAGAAACTGCAGGTTTTTAAAAGCAGATCCCCCACCCCCCTACTACAGTTAAGGCATGATTAACCAGCTAATCATGCCTTAAGTTCTGATCCAGCTACACATTCAAATAATTAATGGCATGGTAAAAGAAGCAAAAAGCTACAAAGTGATTCCACAAAAACGTGCAATAACTTCATAGCTTGTACTAGTCACAGCATTAATTGAACTTCCCTGTGGCTGGGGGCCCCATCAACTGAGGCACCACCTGTTGCCAGCCCTGCAGCTGACAAAGCTCGTAGAGGCAGCAGCATTCCCTATACTCCCCCTCACTATGAGCCTTAGCAGCAGCAGTTCTGGCAATGAGGAGAACGTTGACCCTCCCGTGAGCTTTGTAAGGTATAGGGCTTGCAGCAGGGACAGTGCAGGGAACACTGATCCCCCTGTGAGCGTTGTCGGCTTCAGGGCTGCCGACGCTGCCTCATGTTCCCAGAAGTGCCCCTGCTGCTGGGCTTCCTGGGGCTCCTCCTGCACTGGCAATAAGGCATGATGGAATATAATGAGCAATCCCACAATGCACCTACCTCCTGCCATGCACCTGTGGCATGGCAGGTGGCATGACTCTGTGAATCATCATTAGATCCCATTGCACCTTTAACTGCACATGTAGAGGGGCCCTGGACTATATATTTATATGGGAATTAGTTTACTTATTTATTGATAAGGGATTTAATTTGTGCATTATATCTTTTAGATCTCCATCTAGGTTTCTCCAGATTGCATTAATCAGCTCTATCATCAATTATATATATAACTTTCAAAATATACCTAGTACAAACTTGTCAGATCCAGCATCTCTTACACAGCCTTCCCTAGTTCGACTTCCTTAACTAACAATTTTATCAGTAAGTCTTTCTTCATGTTTAACAATGAATAACAACCCTCAAGCAAAATCCTTTTGTACAACAGGAATGTGTAGATTTTATCCACAACGATATGAAAGGGTGATGGTAAATTTTAAAGGTAGTGAACAAATCTGCAATGAATTATTTCAGTTTGTTAGGTGGGCAAGACACTGATGCCCACAAATCACCATTTCACTGTAACTGGTCTTGCTTGCTTTCTTTTTGCCCTTTCACTGCCACCCCAGTTCCATTTCATTGCAGTTGGAAGCCTCAACATCTGCTCAATGCCCTCCTACTGCTCCAACAGACTACTAAATACATCTGTTCCAGGAGGCATGCATATATGTAAAAGTACTCTTAATGCACCAGCTGCTGCTTGACTGTACTATTCTATAACGATGCTTGATGTGGAAGTATGCTGTGGGCTAAATGCAACTAATATGAACTCTGAAATTGTAATCCTAACTCTGTGAATCGATTTACAGCCTTGGATTGTTCATCATCATACACAACTTAATTGTCTCACTTTTCTTATTAATAAAGGTAAATAATACTAATTTTTGCCACCTTCAAGAGGGTATGATGATTATTACTTAATGTTTGCAGAGTGATTTGAGAATAAAAATTGTTACATAAATCTCAGTAGCAGCAGCAATGGTAACACAACTCTCTAGAACAGGTTTTGTCGTTTCCTGTTTTTGACATTTGCAGATTCCCTGGTCTTATATACCTATATTAATATTTATAATTTATGTCCCTGATCTTATACACCTACATTAATATTTATCATTTTAAGGCGTCTGCTCTCTCGGCATGCCAGAAGAGTTTAAAGCAGTTCTATATCAGTTGTAGAAACCACGCTGAAACAGTATGTAGAACTGCTGCACATTAAGGAGTTTCAAAGACATGTACAGAATGCAGAAAGTTTACCTTTGGTGATAACATAAGTGTAGTCTTAATATTGGTTACACAGCTCAAAATAAATTTATAATTTGCCTCAGTGGAAATTTTTTTAAAAATGTTTTCCAAAAATGTAACACCCGGGTATTATAAAACCAGAAAGGTCCACCAACGATTATCCAATCTGACCTGTTTTATAAATTAAGCCATGATTCTCATGGTTCTTTTCTGAGCTCTCTTCAATTTCAATATTGCTTTTGAATTGTGGACAACATTCACAGTATTTCACAATTCATTCAAAATTTCATCTGAAAACAGACAAGATTCTTTGGGTAAATCTGATAACTTTTATTAAACCAACTCAAAGATATTGGATTTACCCAAGGAACCTTGTCTGCCTATGTCCTTAGACTAACATGGCTACAACCTACACTCCTGAAATCTGAAAACAGGTAATTTACATATAAACTAACCAAATCTTAATACTAAGAGCTCAGAAATATGGTCAAAGACAGACTCTGTACATACTGTTTCTAGAAAATTATATAAAATGTAATGGTACTGAATACTTAAAGGACGCCAATATAAAAGACAATGGGTGCCAGTATAAAAGAAAAAGATAAAATGTGACAAGAATAGTAACACTTGTACCAGCAGAATATTTCTGTTTTGTGGTGTTCATAAACCAAAACAAACAAGGAAATAAACAAATATTTTAGTTTTAACACGGAATGAGGATCAAATGAAAGACAGGAAAAAAGAGGTGATCCAGGAATAGTATAGTTATAAAGTTTTCTCTGCATCCAGTATTTCAAAAAGCAGCATTCTATTCTGATTAAATCAAATATAGAAATGTGAGTCTACGGCGTTTTTAAGTGACAGATTTGGTTAAGAGATTAAAGGTACGCAGTCAATTTGAAATCTAGTCAATTCTGAAACATCGTTTGAAAGTACTTTCAGTTACTTATCTGCTTCCCAAGTCCAAATTCCAGCTAATGTTATAGGTTTATAAAACACACTTCCCTATTTTAGAGATGTTTTGCCTCTTGCTCATGTGAGCAGGGAGCATAACTGCCTGGTAGGCTACAAAATGCAAATAGTGAAGCTAACCATAAAAGTTATGTGGAATACATAAAAACAGAATGCAAAAATTGTTAATCCCCCTTACTTGCTAATTAGTTTCATTTATAGCAACCAGAAAGAACACACCTCAGACCAGAAGGGACAGTTCTGTCAGACCTCTGTTTAGCTATTTCCACCCATAGGTATATGCAGGATGAAAGCCTTGGGTATTGCACAGAAGTAGGACATAATTTAAATAGCTGTCTGAATTTGCTTTTGTTTGACAGTGTTAGACTAGGATTTTCAGACTTGATGCCTAAAAATGTAGCACACAAGTGATCCAATTTGACTGAAATCAATGGGAGTTGCAGATCTTCAGTTCCCCTGAAAAAAATCTAGCTACTCATACAGAATTAAGTTCTCAGCTTTAAGAACCCAAATGTTGATCTAAGGACATCAGTGGCTTAAATACAAGAACTCTCGTTGACTTAAGCCTTGGCAGAATTTGAGCCAATGAATTTTAATAAAGGCAGAGAGTTGTTATAGCAAATTTTGTTTATGCTTGGATATTAATATCAATCATGTTTGACTATTCACATTAAGCAGCTGAGGTATAAATATTCTCTTAAAGTATACTTAAACCCCATAATCAATTATGCTAGAGTTCAATTTCTATTGGAAAAAAAACTCATATAATTCTCTTTTTTTCTCCAGGAAGACGCGTTAACTGAATCCTTTAAAAAAACCACTAGTCTGTAATCTCACTAATTTTAATAGGAACACTTTCTAGAGTCAAGGTATGTTAGGGTCATCCCAAATGACTAAAAATACAAAGCTTCCTAGTACTTTCCTCTTTCAGCACATCATAAATGGGTTTGGCAATTCAAGAATAATACTTGAGTTTATGGGTGTGTTTGCATGGCTCAAGGCCTAAGCACCAAGTGTGCAAGATAGATGAGTATTTTCCGCACAACAGTTCTTGTGGATGTCTTGTGATAACCTTCCAAGTGCATAAAATAAGCAGAGAAAAAGTTATGAATAAAGCAGTTCAGATGTCTCAATAAACAGATAAC